ATCCACGAATCTTCCCGCATGCTGGGTGCAAAACTTGTCAGCTGGTCTGGCTTCAGCAACATGAATATCAATGAAGTGTTGTTGTTACATCTGCTGGGAAAGAACATTAGTGAAGTGTGGTAGTTACGTCCTTTGTGAAATGAGCATCAACGACGTGAGGATGTTACATCCTCTGTAATGTAAGATAAACATCAAAGAAGTTTGGTTGTCACAGACCATGTAACATAAACATCATTGAAGCCTTGTTGTAACTACTCATGTATCGTAATCATTAATGAAGTGTTGGTGTCAACAACTTCTGTAGCCTGCGCATCAATGAAGTGTGGGCATCAACAACTTCTGTAACATAAACATCATTTAAGCGTGGGTATCAACAACTTCTGTAACATAAACATGAATGAAGTGTTGGTGTCAACAACTTCTGTAACATGAACATAAATAAAGTGTGGGTAACAACAACTTCTGTAACATAAACATCATTGAAGTGTGGTTGTCACAACTTTCGTAACATGTACATCAATGAAGTGTGGGTGCCAACAACTTCTGTAACATGAACATCAAAAAGGTGTGGGTGTCAGTTGAATAGCCCTGCTTTACTGTAAAATTTGTAAACAGAAGCAAAAGTTCCATCAGCACATCTTTAAGCATATTAGTCAAATGACGTCCGCCTTACTTTCGTTAGTTCAGTGTTTCTCAATAAGCTAAGAACTGCTAACCCATCTGTTTGTTTTTTTCGAAGGTCCGCCACAAACTCCAAGTTTATAATAACCACAGTAAAGAACCTAATAAAATTTACAAATATTAGAATCGTAAAAAAAAATAATGCAATGTTAGGCCGAGTTGCGCTATAAGGTTAAGGTATTCATTGTCAGTTAGGTCGACGTATGATCCTGCGCATATGTTGCTTTTAAATATCGCCGTCTATCTTGACAGGCAAGGGCGAAAATCACTGTGCTGCCAGTATTCCATTTTTAAGAGTAGACTCACAATGTAATATTAACTGTATGTGTAGATTCTAGTTTAGCGACGAGCTGGTCTTGCTAATCACACTCGGCATTGCCGTGCACTTGATTCCCATGTTTCTGTAAAGCTACTGGGTTTTGTACCTCTTTTTTCTCAGTTGCATTTTGTTTCAATTATAAAAGAAACTGACTGAGACACCTTTGAAGATCCCTGCAGGCAGTGGATATGAAGATAAATGTTAGCGATTACAGTCAAAAACGAGAATCGTCGTTCCCATGTGGGATGCAATTTTCAGTTATTTTGAAGCCCCACCCTGGCTTTTGCCGGGGGGGGGGGGGGGCTAAATATAGCCGGGCCTTAAATATGGCCTAACGGCTGAACGGAGTTTCTGGAACCTTTACACAGGTGATCCTCATCCGCATGGTGGCACTTTGTGTCACCGGGTGTTTATCGCTTGTGTGATCTCCTTGTGGAGTACAACCAAACTACCTATCGAATACAGTCAGTGTATGAGGGGACATAGCTGTTTCAAAGTTAGTAACGTAGTGCTCGAAAATGTTTGCCTCCCTTGCTCGGAATCTAATAGCTTTATACCTTACAAAAGAAACTTCTCGTGTGGTTTCTGGACCCAACTTGTGGAAATAGACCAACCCCTCTATTCCCTTAACAAGCATGTCGTAAAAGTCGACAAATTAGGGATGGCTCCTTCGAAGTCGGGGTATAACTCTCTGAGAGGCGAGGAACCAACAATCTGCATACAAATGAGCCGGCTCTATCAAAATGGATGTGCACGTAACACTTAACTTCTGGAACAAGACCAAAGTCCACAAGTGGACGAACAACCAGAACTGTTCGCCAGAGTTTACACTGCGTGATGGTTATAGGTTCGAATCCTAAACGTTATGATTTCTAAATTTACTCTAGGTTGTAAGTAAAAAATGTAAAGGACCCTCTTCCCCGCCTTTATGCGTATAGGGCATGTAGGGCTAGACCTATATTTGTATAGACCGATTGGCACAAGATGGGTGATCTGGGCAGTATCACGCCACTCTAGGTTGTAGAGAAAGTAAAGAAATGAACCATTTCCACGCCTTCAGGCTATTGGGTATATAGGGCTGAACCTATATTTTATAGACCTATCGGCACTCGGTTGGCGGTGCGATCAATCTCGCGTCGGCTGCCGTCATCGTACATTTAGGGACTTTTCTTTAATTTGAAATCACTATTACTTCTGTATTCCCATTATTCAAACGGAGGCCTATTATATAACTTTCTACCACCACCGCATTTATCAATTCATGTAGTTCTTTCTGACTTTTGTCGCTGTCACGACGGTGTCATCAGATAACGTATGCTGTTTATGTTAAGACCATCAACCACAATTCATGGCACATCCATGATACACCTTATTATATATACATCGTATAATGAAAAACAAATCAGGTGATAATGCACATCCTTTTCGCACTCCACTCTTTATGCTCTGATATGTTTATAAAGTGGAACTAATTCCTTTTGTAAATATAGTCAGTCAGACGGATTAATCAAAAATAGTCAAGGAAATGTATTTACCAACACTAAAGATGAAATGTACAGATGGACTGAGTATTTCGAAATACTCCTAAATAGACCAGCGCCAGAGGTTCATCCAGATATCCAGTCATTAGAAGTGGAAACCGGATATCAACTGTGAGATACCCTCTACAAAGGAAATTAGAAAAGCATCAATCTTCTTTAAGAATGAAAGGCGGCAGGTCCAGATGGTATCCCAGCAGAAGCTATTAAGGATAATACACACACACACATCAACGTAATTGCTACAAAGATTTTTTTGTAAAGTCTGGAAGACCGAAGAAATACCAGTAGACTGGAGAGGAGGATATCTCGCGGAACTGTTTAAACAAATGTGGTCTACAGGAGTGTGAGAACTATAAAGGAATTGTGTTTCGGTCAGTTCCTGACACACACACAAACAATTTATTAGGATTATTTTGGAAAGACTAAAGGATGTTATTGATAAAACGCTTAGAGATAAACAGGAGATTTTCGGCCAAACAGATCATGTACTGACCAAATAGCCACATTACGTATAATAATAGAGCAAAGCATTGAAACGAATTCACCACTTTACATTAGTTTCATAGACTATGAAAAAGCTTTTGGGAGCATTGATAAGAATTCCTCTGGAAATAATGGAGCACTATGGAATCCCACATAACATTACTAACTTGGTAAAGACAACACATACAGGCATGAAATGTCGAGTTCTATTTGAGGGAAAGGTATAAGATCTATTTGATATAAAAACAGGGTGCGACAGAGATGTCTTTTGTGGTCTCCCATATTTTTACAAGCAATAGATTGGATTATTATGAGAGCAAATGCTAACACCAAGAACGGAATTCAGTGGACCCCTACAAAACAGCTTGATGATATGGACTTCGCTGATGATATTTCTCTTCTGTCCCATTCACGGAATAAGATACAAGACAAATGAAATATACTTGATGCGAGATCCCAACAGCTAGGTCTGAAAATCTATAAAGGAAAAACAAAGATAGTAAGAAGAAGTCAGGCAAATAATAATGTGGTTTCTCTTATTGGCATTCCACGCTAAAGCGTGAAGTCGTATACCTATTTGGGCAGTAATTTAGACAAAGATGTGAGAACTGACAGAGATACTAAAATACGAATACAAAAGCAAGAAGTGCTTTCATAACGCTAGGGAACTTGTGAAGGTCAAAAGTAATTAAAAATAATGCTAAACTTGAAATGTTTAATTCTTATGTCAAATCAGTACTGTTTTATTGAGCGGAAACACAGGGGACAACTAAGGCAATTACAAATAAACTGCAAACATTCATTAAAGGTGCTTGCGCAGAATAAAAGGAATGAAAGGGTATGATAGAATCACTAATGTAGACCTTCCGGAGAGAACAAAGCAAGTTCCAGTAGAACAAGAGGCGAGGAAAAGACGCTGGCGTTGGATAGGACACACGTTGAGAAAACACGAGAACAATATAACTAGAACGTCTTTGCATTGGAACCCACAGGAGCATAGAAATAAAGGAAGACCAAAAACACACATAGAAGAGAGGTAGGGAGTGAAGTTAAAAAGACGGGGAGGACATGGGGAGAGCTGAATGCAATAGCGAAATATATAACTACTGGGCGTTAGCTGGTTGAGGGTCTATGCTCCATTGGGGGTTAAAAATGCAGAAGAAGAAGTAGTTTGATTATTTCTTCATGTTAATAAATTATTCTTTGATTTTATGTCAAAAATAATACATAAATTTTACAAAATTATGTAATGAAAAGAAACGGACAGGCATTTCTTGAATACAGAATGATTTTACAATGATTGTTCCAGTCTAGTGTCATTAATTTTACAAATGGGGCAAAGACCCACAACGTATAGATGCCCAAAAAATGCAATTATTTTGATTATTAATAAAAACACAAGCTCAGTAGCCACACACATGGTGGGTACGTGGCCAAACTACCTCTACATGAAGTTTAATAGAATGCTTACATACGGTTTTACAGAAGTGTGTAAAAAAACATGAAACTGCGAGTCCTTGTCCCGACCTACCCTATCATCTTGAAGTTAAAAAAAAAATATTTATATCCCAGTTGAAACCTAGATGGGTTAAAGAGGATATTGTTTTTTTTTTTTTTAAAGTTACAACAGGGCTCTGTGGAGGGGGAAGAAAAGATGCAGATCAAGAATAAAATGAATACATAATTTTGAATATATGCAGGCCTTCAGCTTGCACATTTCAAGTTCACTGAAATTGTATGGCAGGGGTGGGGGGAATTAATCAACAGCAATTGGTGATAGAATTGGCTATAGAATAATGATGATCATGATAATAATGATGACTGATCCCGAAGTGATAATAGAGAACCAAAAAGAACGAAATATGTTAAGAGCGAAGGAAGCCATTTACTGCTGGGCAGTGATTGGTAGAACTTCCTGTATGTAGCCGGTGTGGAAGCTTTTATTTATCGTTTCGTCTCATGCAACAATTCAAAACATGTCTTTTAATATAGACGCCCCTCCTTCTTTAGACACTGTTAACCAGGCTCTACAAGCTCTTTACAACAATCCCGATGTCACGGGCAAGGAGAAAGCGTCCGTTTGGTTAGGAGAACTTCAAAAATCCGTAAGTAAAATGTATGAATGAAACCAAGAAAGGGAAAGGTAGGGACAAAAAAGTCAGTTGTTACTTTTTAATGAAGGGGTCTAACTCTAATAGTTTGCTGATATGAGTCACATAACATAAGTATTCATAGTTTCAGTATCAGTGTTTATTATTTTGTTTCAATGTTTCTGCTGCTATCTCGGGGATTGTAAATCATTGTTAAGAGTCTTCTCTTTCCTGCCTCAGCATAAATTGTTAATCATCAGTAATCATCAGTAATGTACAATTAGAAAATACTAATTTAAATTTTTGACTGGAAGAGACTTTAGAAACCTAAAATATTAAATATATCTTTTAATTTATTACAGTGTGATGAGTGTGTTTATTGACTGTTTGTTTGTAAATGTGTGACTGTTTGTTATATACTATAACTACTATGTGGTTACTGTGTTGTTTGACAATACTATTAGTACTATATTCAGATTAGAGATTAGACAGCACATTAACTTAACAAACAAACAAAAGTATACATCAAAAATACAAAATGAGCACTATAAATATATTATATACAATTATACATCATCAAGTACTAACTCACAACTGTAAATGTCACTGAGCCGCTGAAGGTTGAACAGAATATTATTTTTGTGAAAATTTAAATTACTTGCAAATAAAATACAAAGTACTACAGTTTGCCAACCTATCCTACATTAGTTTTGGAATATTTTGCAAACAAATTAACAAAGAAAATAATACAAAATGTGAATAAGATAAATGATGAGTGTTTAAAGCAGTCAACAAAATCATTATTATAATGATAAGTGAATATAATATTATGAGTCTAAATTGCTGACTGAAGGCCTAAGAAGATACGAAGGAACACATTCCAGGCTTATGAAGGTAACAGCAAAGAGTTAATGTTGGGTGTAGTTTTAAGTTTGAAGGAATTAAAAACAATGACAATGGCACAATCATACATGACTAGAGGAGACCATAGTGATAGATTGAGGAAGAGCATGAATATTACATCATATGATATCATTCTAATGTAAATGAGCATACTGAATGTGAATGACATTCTATGCTAATCAACTGTATTTAGTGTTTACAATTGCTCTGTACACATCAGACTTTTGAAGACAATTTTTGAGAGCAGCATTTTCTTCCCAAAATTTCACACATATGAGTGAGTTGTAAGTTTTAAAAAAACACTTAGTTGCTTGTTATTTCACAAACAAGACCCAACATTTGGTGACTGTTGTATGGTTTTATGGCTCTACTTTGAATAGCGGTTCTAAATAAACTGCACAGAAAGTTAATCCCAAACAGAGCCTCATTACCTCCTGCCCTACAAACATTTGGAAGCTGTAACTCAGGAAATATAAGGAACAAAAACTATAGGAAAAAGGGGGGATTCTACTACTTACCGATATTGACATCCTCTATACGTGAAAATTGTGCCACAGACGTTGCAAATAGCGCCCGAATATCTGTTTTTTTCTGGCTGTCCGCGGTGTCAACAGGGCGCAGCTTGTCCGCAAGTCTTGTTCCGGGCGGGACATAATTAATACTGCGCGTTGTAATGTACGCGCATATGGCCTCGGGCCAACGTAAAACCAGCAGTCGCCTAGAGCCAACGTCAAACCACCAGCCGGTATGGGGCTACACTATTCCGACCACCCCTTGACCGTCGCGACTGCGACCACGGTGGCAATTCCAACGGAAAAAGTAGGTATTGAGTGTTGTTCTGCTACTATAGTGCCACCTCCGAGAGGATACCGCACGGCGCGGAGGGGGCTAAACTAGATGGCTGGGACTCACTAGCAAATACTTTGGAGGAAACTGCAGGAGCTGCGGTAGCTGCTGCTTGTGAGTCCCAGCCATCTAGTGTAGCCCCCTCCGCGCCGCGCGTATAGGCGCTGGTGATACTCTCAGAGGTGGCACTATAGTCAGCGAAAAGCGATCGGCAACTTACATATAACTCGGGCCCTGCCGCAGGATAGCGCTATCGGGAGTATTGTCGCGTGCCGGTAATTTTTTTCGTATGCAGTTAATCCTGGTTTTGCAGCCATCTAATCGCCGTAAAAAAATCCGTTACGTTCCGTGAAAATGTCGTGCGCAGTTAATACTACTTTTGACACGGTTGAATTGCTGCAAAAAATGTGACTTTTACATATGTGTGAGGCTCTGTTTGGGTTAACTGTGTTGTGAGGCTCTGTTTGGGTTAACTTTCTGCGTAGTTCATTTAGAACCATTATTCCAAGTAGAGCCATTTTATGAGATTGAGGAAAATGAGTCCTGTGTGACATATAATGGGACAAGAGCAGTTCTAGTCTTGTAATACAAACTTAGGCTTTCCACTGACATCTGCATGAAGTGTGGACTAGAAAAAGAAACTTCATCTTCCTGAGACTAGACAAGACACAATAAATAAACTCTTTGACCACACACATTGAATACCCTTGACCAGTAACATCCTGGATAGGCAGTTCTAGCACATCCTCTATCCTCCAGTGTAAACACACCCTTCTGGATAAACACTTTGGCCAATGCACTCACACTCTCCTAGATAAGCATTGACCAATGCTTCCCCTGGATACATACATTTGCCAACATACTTCCTTGTATAAATTTTTTGATCAGCACACTTCCACTGGATACTCTTGACCGTAACACTCACCTGACTACACTTTTTGGCCACATTCTCCAGGATACAATGTTTAACCTTCACACTCACCTAGATAAACTCCATAACTTGCCAAATCACCTGTTTTGCCGCATCCTCAAAGACAAACTCTTGAAACAACAGACTCTCTGGATAAACTACTGGACAACACCCTAACAAATAAACTCGTTGACCACACCCTGATAAGTAAACTCTTTGGTCACACCTTCCAGGATAAACTCTTGGAACAAACTCCCTGACCACACCCTGATGAATAAACTCATTAGCCACACCCTCCTGGATAAACTCTTCTACCAAACACTCCTAGTCTTATAGATAATACTTTAAAATATATGTTTCAGGTGTATGCCTGGCAGATTGCAGATCAGCTTCTGCAGCTGAACCAGAGCTTGGAATCATGCTACTTTGCTGCTCAGACCATGCGAACAAAGGTAAAAATTCATCTGAAAATTAACAAATACACAATGGAACTAGGAATCTTAGAAGAAGAAATAAAATATTAAACCAAAGTCGTTATAAATCAACATAGCAACAGAATAAATTAGTCAGCTGCCATTCTCTCAAATAAAGATGGCTTATTCTTCTTCTCCTCCTTCTGTATTTATCTTATTAATGTCATCCTTCTCCTCTTCCTTATTCTTTTTCCTTCTTTTACCTTCACAGTAATGTAATCGTTCCACCCACTGCAAGCCATCACCTGCAGTTCACTCCATGTCCATATTTCTCATCCATGAATCTTCTTTTCACAGCATTAGTGATTTTGTCATATCCCTGAAGAATTAACTCCTGTAACTTGTACAGTCTATTATCTCAGGTAAGTGATCTCCATGGTAAAGTGGTCAAAACACTTGCCTCATGAAGGTAGTGGGTCTGCCCCAGGGTTGTGCCATTCAGTTCAAACATGACCTTGTGTGGTTTCTGGGATTCCTCAGATTGAGGGGGGAAAGAATAGATTCAGTGGCTATCTTCTGAATAACGGTCCCAAATTATCAAGACAGAAAATGTACCCGAACAGAGCCTCAGTCACGTGTTAATTGGGCACTTCCGGGGACTAGACCACCACCGCCGAATTGCGCACTTCCGAGGACTATACCGCTGCTGCCGAGAGTATCCCCCACGCCGCTAACGCGGCATGGTTTGGAGCTAAAATAGATGGCTGGGACTCACGAGCAAAGCCATCTAGTTTAGACCCAATCCACGCCGCATGGAGGATACTCTCGGCGGTGGCGCAAGTCGCCGGAAGTGCGCAATTGACACGTAACTGAGGCTCTGTTAGGGTATATTTTCTGACTTGATAATTTGGGACCGTTATTCTGAAGATAGCCAACTCAGTGCCTTCCAACAAGCATGTTGTTAAAAAAAAATTCACTTTATCGGGGTGTTTTGAAGTCTGGTGTATCTGCCTGAGAGATGAGTAGCCAACAGTGTGCATACAAATAAATCAATCAGATTTATAAACTGGATAAGTTGGATGTGCACTCAAGTTCTGGAACAGGACCAAAATCGAGAAGTGGTCAAACAACTAGGACTTTCCACCAGAGTTTATAGCCTGTGAATGCTCAGAAGAAGAAGGAGGTTCACGAGTGCAGTTTTTACGGAGATCCCTGGGAATCATCACTGTTGCTGCTGAGTTTGTGCTTTATGGCTGCTAGCCATTCTGCGGAGCAAACCTGGAGCTATTTTTGATAACCCAGTGCAGTTAATTCAATCATGTCACCTTTAACTTGACCTAACATTCCTGTTCTGTTCACAGATACAGTATGCTTTTCATGAACTACCCCCTGAGTCGCACCAGGTGAGACTGCATGCACACTGCTGTTATCTGTTTGTTCTTAATAGTAATTTTATTAATGAAGAACCCCACTGTTTTTTTTTACTTAATGGTCTACTCCTCATACCACTATCAGGATCAGAACATAAGGGTCTGTTGCCTAGTCACCTCCAGTTTGAATCAAAACACAAACTTCAGAATTGTAAAGCCATTGCACATCGAAGTATACCCATATTTGTATAGACCTTTCTTGGCTCAATGATCAGCATGAAGTCTTGGCCGCCTTAAATTCTCATATATTTCCTGATACCTATTTTAGGCTTAGGAGGCATGGGAGTCTGTCTAGGTCATTCATGAAAAATGAGCCCTAATTATAATCTAAAAAAAAACCAACAGAAACACCCTCATGTGGATTTAAACCAACAGCCTTCAGACCAGCAGTCAAGTGTCTAGTCATTGCACTATCACAGCTCTCAAAATAACCTGGCTTTGTTTGAAATTTTTATGGTCGGTTCCAAGTACTTTACATTTTATTTGAAATTCTTGCGGTCGGTTCCAAGTACTTTACATTTTAGATATTATTTTTGTGTTTGTAAATGTGAATCCAGGATCCCATTTTGAAGGGGGTTAGACCGACTCCTCAACAAGCATGTCCTAAAAGTGCCTAAGAGTTTGTCAAATTCTGATGTGTTGGCTATAAGGATACGGATAATCGCTGCATAGCTGTTAACCACAGCACAGAATGCCAACTGCCAGTTGAAGAAGACATTTTTTAACATCATTTTTCTGTCTGATGTTAATGAAAATAATTATCTGCAAAGACTGGTGTTAAATATTTATCTTTCCATTGACTAGTCCCTCCGTGATTCTTTGCTCGGACACGCTTCAAAAATTGCTCCAGGAACCCCACCTGTCATTGTCACACAGGTGAGTCCTTCTCACAGAAGATGTGTTACTTTATGTTTGTTTATTGTTATTGTTTTGTTTTTTTCAACATAATTTTTATTTCTCTATGGCTTAGGACAGGGCTGTTCAGCTAAGTTTACCCAATGGCCAGAATGTTTCAAATGGGGCTCGCCACAGGCCAGAGCCCCAGCTTAATAAGATCATTAATACGGTATAATTGGCAAAGATCCACTGGCCTTTGCGGGCCACTGGTTTATGATCCTAAAGTACTAGGGTTTTATTTTAATAGCGGGCAGTTTAAAAAAAACAGTTCTGAACATACCATTTTTGAGTTTTTGCTGAAAGTATTGTTAGAGTACCAGGAGTTACTGGGACCATTTAAGGAAACAGAATAGTAACTGAAACTTGCCATGCATGTTATAAAAGACCGTATAAGAAAGTTGGTGGTTAGACTGACTCATCCCATAGGGTACCTCACCACTGGCTGGTGACTTGATGCATGGTAGGCTAAATAAGGTAAAGCCATTTGTTAGCAAGTGATCAGTGTGGAGAGAATGGTGCGAAGGGCAGTGACCAGGAGATCTGGCCGAACTACACACTGACAGGAAAGGTAAGATGGACATATAATCTTCATTGCATTCACCAGCTGTAAACTCTGGAGGAAAGTTCTGGTTGTTCATCTGGACTTTAGTCTTGTCACAGAACTTGAATTTTGCATCAACATCTATTTTACATATCTGACTTATTTGTTTTGCAGACTGTTGGTTCCTTGCCTCTCAGGCAGATGCACTCAGACTTTGAAGGAAAACCCCTCATTAATTGATTCCTACATGATTATTAGGGAGGCACTGGGTCTATTCCCTGTTTATCCCTACATTGTTGACTAGGTACCCAATTTAGGTTTACAGTTAAAATGCTACTGGAACCATCATAATGAGAACTTTTTGCTGGCTGTTGAAGATGAGACAGTGTGCAAATAATAATTTAGCTAAATATGTAACCAGTCATGAAGAAAAGGTCCACAGGGGGTTTATAATGCTTTGGTTGAGGTACCCATGCTCAGTTGTAAACAACTAGTTCTGTATTTACTTTAGTAATAATCATGCAGTTTATTGACTATTTCCCCAGCTCTCCTTAGCTTTGGCAGATCTTGCTCTCCAGATGGCCACTTGGAAGTCGGCGGTTGTAGATTTTATTGAGAGGTGGGCCTAATTTGTGTGTTGCTGTGTCACTCTTAGAGGCTTCTCCATCGTTAGTTAGCTCATGCCAAACCCACTATGGACTCCCATTTTTATGGCTTTTAAGACCCCCCCCCCCCCCCCCCCCCCTTTTTGTGTGTGTGTGTGTTGTTTTAATTTTTGAAAATTATTACTGCAAGACCCCTCTGTTTTTATTTCTGTAAGACCCCTTTTTATGATTAGCTGGATTTTGCTGCTGACTCTGACAGTGAATATTTAAAAAAAAAATCTGTCTTGTATGTTGAGTACAGGAAGTTGGTTGGTGCTTTCTTAGGAAGGTTTAGTTTTAACCCATGCAAGAATCTTTATTTAAAAAAAAAAAAAACTTTTTAAATATATTTTTTTGCAGACTTCACACCCCTGTAAATGCCGTAGAAATGGCTTTCTCTGGGACACAGGGTTGAATCTTAAGTCTGGTGCTCCCATGTGGGTCCTGGGCCCTGTTGCAGGGAAAACGAGAAGATCCACTGCCTATCCATGATGTAAGAGCCGACTTATTGGGAGCTTCCTTTAGAGTTGAAGTGCATATGCCTGAGAGGCAAAGAACCAACAGTCTGCATACAGATGAGTCAGATCTGTAAAAGATGTGCTTGCAACACTCAGGCACAGGAACAGGACTACAGTCCAGTAGTGGTCGAACAACCAGCACTTTCTGCCAGAGTTTGCAGCCAGTGAAGGCAAAGAAGAAGAAGAAATCTGGTGCTGGGGTGTGAGTGCAATATCAGTATTAACAAAATCTTACATTGGCATAGATACCTCTCCCCATCCGCCCAACTTGTGCGTTGTACTAGAATAGCATCTCAAAATGGACGGTGTTGCAAAGATATCCTTCCTTTATCCAGTCAGCTTTGCAAGAACCATGTTAAAATTTCAGATAAGCAAAATGACTTCATATCGAGACACAGCACTTTCAGTGTGATTGGAATTAGGTCTAGATTGATGTTTCCTCATTGAGCAGAGAATGAGTCTGGGGGAGTAAATTAAGGATGCAGACAGAACGGGTCAGTTGGCATCTTGCTGTGCAGATGTGCTTGAAGTGCACATAGTGATGGACCAGGACACAAACTGGTCAAGACCTGTCTACGCCTCTCCGTGGTCATCTAGAAGCAGATTTCTACCTAGGGGCTTTAACGTTTCCTTCAAAGTCGGAATGCATCTGTCTGAGAAGTGCGGAACTAACAGTTTACACACAAGTAGGCCAGGTGATAAAACGTATGTGCATGTAACACATACATCCTGAAACAGGAGTAAAGCTAAGAAGTGGACGATCAATCAGGACTTTCCTCCCAGACTTTGCAGTTGATGAATGCTAAAAAGAAGTTGCCATCTTCATATTAGTTGCTATCAGTAGTTTCTGCTTCATGTTATGATAGCACAGTCTTGTATTTACTTTCCAATCCAACTGTTGATCTTATCTATCTTCCTTTTAAAGCAAAGGGACTATGTTTGTATCTTTATGTCGTTTGTATAACCCACTAACGGCAACTTGTTTTGTTTAATGAATGTTGGTGTACAGATTCAGCAAAGAGCACATGGGTTTTCTGCTAGAACTTCTTACAGTTTTACCTGAAGAGGTAAGAAATGTGCGTCTGTATGCTTGTTTATCTTGTCTTACTACTGTGAAACCAGTCCAAGAATTATTTTGTTTCCTGGTTTGGATCAGGCATTTGGCATGAAGGGTTGTGGGGAGCTTCACTTTATGCCCAGATGTCAGCTATGTTTTGTTAGGTAATTTGAATATGTCAATCCATTTGCTTCTTGAACTTCCTTAATTTTTCATGCTCTGTAATTTTTAAACATCAGCCTCGTTAATTTGTTGTCTGCTTCTTCTTGTGAATTTTTTATTCAATATTATTTTTAAAAACAATTCTTATAAGCATACATTATTCCTGATTTTTTTTTTTTTTTTTAAACTGGTTAATTAATATTCGCCCTGATTTGCCATGTTAAAGTGTCAACCATTTCTGGACAAGAATTATTTTTGTAAATTTCAGATAAGCAGCCGCTCGCTTCGCCTAGGAGCCAATCGGCGAAAGGAAATCACAGAAGAACTGATTTCTGTGAGTCCTGTGGTCATACAGCTGCTGACTCATGTGGTAAGTCATGAATTTTTTGTTTTTCTCTATTCATCCATAGAAGTTGGGCTTTACAGCTAGGCTATGATGTATGTGCTTTTCAGCCCTACTTGTCCAGTTTCAGTAAACCTTTAATGAGTAATCTTTTATGACCTGCTTGTTAAGTTGGCGTCTGTGGCTTAGGCATTGCGAACGCCCTTTGTTATGCCAGTGTGTCAGCTTCGATTCCAGTTGAGGGCCATGCGTTGGTTTTGACAGTGGTATTGAGAAGCTGACCGTCCAGAAAGCAGTGACAAACAACTGGACGTAAATAAAAATAAAAACCATAGCAGCCAAAAAAAAATGCTGGCGTTGGTTCTGCAACATCCTGTAAAAGATATGAAACTAACTTTTTTGTAAAATATGTCAGTTGTTCGCACCCTCTTTAAATAGGGTGTTGACAGGGATTCCTGCTCTGGATATAGCTCAGTCTCTGCAGAGTGGCTCCTGGCTGCTGACAGTTCACCAAGCATGAGCTCCATAATGATCTTCATTTAGAGTTAATTGCAATAGGTTTTGTGTGTCTATTTTATTTGTAACGCTCACCTCAGGACCTCACATGAGATACTTTTTATTTAGTGCTTTCAGTGATGTCTTCTATTGATGCTGCTCTTTCCTCGGTGGATAATATATCCATATAGGATGTGTATCTCCTAAGGGCCTTAATACCAAACACAACTTTATCTAAAAATGATTTTTTTTAAACGTTACATCCCTGGTCATAATTCATCATCTGCCCACACATCCCACCTCTCTGGGCTGCTTGTTGTCTAGTGTCTATTTCCTGCAGCGATAAGTTTCTAGAGTTTCTATTGTTGAGATACGTTTTGGATATTTTTGTGACAGACCTCATCTCATGAGATAAGTGATTTTATGAATTCTTGTTTGTAATTGCATCATTGTTAGTTAGTGTTGTATGCTGTTGAAAGAGATTCCTTTTGTCATTCATGACTGGTTTTGTAAAGCTGCATTGAAATTTGTCATAGACCCTTTACCTGGTGGCGTAGACCCTCTGTCAGTTTGCACAAAGCCTTCAGATTCAGTCATACTTGGTTTATTATTAGGTGAAGTAAGTAGGGACCCTTTTCTTCATTTGGGCATATTTTTTTTACTATTGACCTAGGATTTCCAGGTTGACTCAGAACTAAAGTGGGTCCAGAACGTATCCTTGAAGGCTAAAGCAACTGACCTGTTGAAGACCGCACCATCCATTGAGTGCAAACTGGTCTGCAGAAATGTAGGTTTGGCACCATTTATCCCAAGTGACAGTGGTGAGGAAAATTGCTTTTTTTTCCCACCTACTTTTATAACACTGTTTTTACTTTTGTAATGAATACATTACATATATTTCAGAACACAACAGTGACAGGAGAGGAAGAACGAGACCAGAGAATAAGGAGTAAGTCCTACAAGGTGATGGGAAGCTGGTTCTCAGTTGGGGCCATACCCCAGCAGGTGCTTCTATCTACACAGCTCATGAATTTCCCGTTCCAGGCTTTGGTAAGTCCTGGCTGTTCGTTTGCATTGTCTTCTATGGTTTTTTCTTGGTTTTAATAGTTTAAAGATCAGAGCCTTGATTCCTTTGTTTACACCTTTCTGTCTCTACAGATGATAGTGTTATTTTGTGCAATAGAAGGGCCATGGAGATAGTAAGTTTGATTAGCAATACTTACTCATGATTTAATGTACGTACTTCTCAGACACAGCTCGCAACTTATCTGCTGTATTATTTTCCTTTATCCCTATTTACAATTTCTCCCACCCTTTTTTTTTACACGCACACACAATGCCCCCCCCCCCCAACCCCCAAGTATTGTTCATGACATGCTGTTCAAAAGAATCTACATAAAAAACCCATTTTAATACCTGTATCATTCGTGTCCCACTTGCACACATCTTTATACCATTGCCAACCTTGACGTTTTCTCCCCATCTGTAATTCACCATAGGGGATATCCTTATGGAATCTAACATTCTCCAAGTGTGTCCTTGACATCTGAGCCTTTGAAGACTAAGCATTGAGAAAACTGATTCTTGCTGTTTCCAACACCTCAGTATTTATGATCTTGCCACTTAATGCCAAGTATTCTTCAAAGACATCACATGTGAAAGTTATTTAGCCGTTTTTCCTGGAATGAATCAGTAAACCAAGTTTCACTACCCTAAAGAAGAACACATGCTTGATACTGCCCCAGCTGTGTGCTGTGGGTAGCAGGTACTTTATCCCTGGCCCTAATTGGTCTTGGAAACAAATTGAGAGGCAGCAGCTACAGGGATTCCTGCACTGCATATAGCTCAGTCTGTGTAGAGTGGCTGGTTGCTGACAGTTCACCAAACATGAGCTCCCTGTTGATCTCTAATGATGATATGTTAGGACTTCATTGAAGTAGGTTTTATCCCATAAGGCTCAGTCTCTCCACATAGTGGCTGGTCACCTGCTTAGAGCGTCCCACAAAGCGCAAGTTCTTCGGCTGCAGTAACAGTCCCAAGGAACGTAGAAAAAGCAGTCCAAAAATTCTTAACTTGTGTGCAGTTAACAGCTTTACCAGACTTTTTTTTTTCAGGTCAAAGGGGGCAGTGAAAAAATTGTACGTGGAATAGTCTTAGGTGAAAGAGGTAGAGAAAAACAAGGAACAAGTTATGTGGAAAGCTGCAACAGCCTAGCAGCTTATGATAGTTAAAGATTAGGCCAATCTCAGCTTTCAGTGGTTGTTGTGGGGTTTTATGTTCAGTTGTTAAAAAATGTATTCCTGTTGAGAATTTGGCATGACACCTGCGCTTTTGGGATTGCACATGATGATGTTGATGGTGTGACTGCTGATAAATTTTTCAGTTAGTTTTCCTCATGTCAAGAACCCAATTTGTTGGGGGGGGGGGGGGGGGGGGCTTAGTGCCCTCTTATTAACAAGCATGTCATACAAATTGACTAATTAGAGGTGCTTCTGCCGGAGAGGTGAGAAATCAGCAGTTTTGCATACAGATCTGCCACCTCTGTAAAATAGACGTGTACACAAAACTCAGAAAGTTCTCGTGCAAGACCAGAAGTCCAGAAGCGGACAAACAACCAGAACTTTCTGCTGACATTTACATCATGTGAACAGTAGAAGAAAAAGAAGAGAGATCTGCGTTAGTTTCAGCATGACTTTTTCAAATACTTGGTTCATCTTGTTGATGGTTCTCTCTGTTCTGTTTCAGGCTAATGTTAATTGCCCAGCATTTCTCCACGAAGCTGCTACAGACTGTGTTTGTTCAGCTTTATACTGTTCTGAGGTATGTCTGATAAAACTTATTTGTTTGTTACATATGTCCAGTTTTGAATGAGTTTCAAGTTTTTTCTTATGAAAACTGTTTGTTTATTTAAAATGTTTGGGTATTGCTATGATTATTTCTCTGTTCTTCTTCTTGTCAGGACTTGGAGAAGTTCCAAGAGCTGGCCCAGAAGCTCTTCCAGGGAGTGATGACCTTGGTGCCAGCTTATCACCAGGCAGATAAACATGAGGAGTCTGACAAGTATGTTTTTTTTTTCTTTAAAATTAAACTCCTGTTGTTAATGTTAGTTTATACTATTTAGAGTTGTTTTTGTAATAGTTAATTAAACACATCCCCCCCCCCCCCCACCCCACAGGGTCAAATTTGCAATGCACTATTCATGTTTTTTTCATTATTATTTTACTTGTTAAAGTTAAGTTTGTACTATTTTACTTGTTATTATGGTTAATTTAACTTGTTCAAGTTAATTTATGATATTTAGAGGTTTTTTCATTGTTAATTTAATTTAGCAATTATTATCACTCTTTATTTGAGAATTAAAAAAACAGTTTTATAAAATTACCATTAAAGAGGAAGACAGTAGAAGAAGAATGGCAGATACCAGTATTCTAAATGCTGCAAAAGTAACATGCGGAACTAAGAGAAAAAGCAGAACTCGACAAAAGAAACTTAAGCTGGTGGAATGGGGAAGTGAAAGGAACTAAAAAAAAACAAATAATAAGAAATGTGCGAAGGGTAAACATGACAATGATTATATACAATACAAGAAGAAATGCAGATAGAACAATAAAGAGAGAAAAACAAGGAAATTATTTCGCTTATAACTGTAATTATAATTATAAGGATGCATTATTTTGTTTTAAAAATCTTAAAGAAGAAAAAAAAACGGTTATTAATTTTAAAATTCTTGTAGGGCAAAAGGGTTAAATTATCTTGTCATCTGTTTTGCATGTCAGGTGCTTGAACTACTGCAGAATCTTTACAGAGCTGAGTGAAACTTTGTTCAACATGATGTTGAACTCACCAAACCAGGTGAGTCATTTGGGGGGGGGGGGGAGTATTATCTTTGAGTTTTGACATGGTGGACATTTGGATCTAAACCAGCTTTGTGGTTATTGGGGTCTTTAGATCAGGGTTCGTAGTGGACCGGGAAATCACCGGGATTTTTTTCGTTGACCTTGAACCGTGATTTTTAGCTTATAAAAGACATTCCGACCTTGAAAAGCCGTGAATTTTGACCGCGGCAATGAAATCGTCAGAAATCCTGTGTTTTTCAGCACAGGCAATTTAGGGGGAGCCATTTGGCTAGTTTTTGGCTACTTTCGTTGTATGGTCGTTTCAGGTGTGAGGGCAGCTGATTATTGGCTTTTTTCAGCCGAAATGTCTTGTTAAAGGCCAGGGGAGGGCGGGCTTTGTTGCAGATCATGAATACATGCAGACAGCAGCGGTGTGGCATGGGGCGGGAAGGAGCAGCAAATACAAAGTGTGTGTGCCTTTGTTTCTAGCAAGTCGGGCAGAATGAACAGTCAGTTTAAATCGTTTATGGCCGTGGTTTCTAGAAAGGATTACATTGGGAGATGGTGGGGCTCGGTTCAGTTGTATTTATAAATAGAGTCGCCGTGGTGGGGGCTAAGCACGGGCCTTCTCTATTAATTAGAGATGGCATTGGGGCTAAGCAAAGTAACTGCAGCTGGATTTCCCAGTTCTATTTTTGGCCTGGATTTATCTTTACAGTGTGTTTGGCGATCAGTATTGTAATTCCCCGAGATTCCCTCTTCTGTTGTCTCACCCCTCTCTCTCTCTTCCCTCCCTCTTTCACTCTTCTGCCTATTGCTCCTTCCTTCCCGTCTCCTGCATTGTCTCTAACCCTCCCTTCTGATCTTCTTCTTCTTCTCTTTCTCTCTATCTTTCCTTTTACTCTCTCATTTCCTGTCCCCCCCCCCCCCCCCTCCCCCTTTTATTTCTTGTTTAAATGTTTAGTAAATGTGCGGCTCCATAACTCTTCCTAGCAACTCAAGTACACAGGAAGTTGTATTGGGGGGGGGGCATTCTGTGTGAACATGGTGGATATTTTCTTTTGATGTGTTTGTTTTCCTAGCGGTCTTAATCTCTGTCTATCTCCCTTCCCGCCCCCTCACATTTTGTCCTACCTGTTCCTCACTCTCTGCCTGTCTGTGTCGCTGCTTTCCTCTTTCTCTTTGTATTTGCCACTCTTCCTCACTCTCTCTCTCTCTCTCTCTCTCTCTCTCTCTCTCCATACCTTCAGTTGGTGTAGAAGGTTATGTGTTGCCTAGTGCAGAACATTTCATGTCCACCATTCCCCCCTCCCACACATTAAATATATGTGTACTTTTAAAAACACATTTGCCGTCACCCCCCCCCCCCCCACCCCCCTCTTTCTCCTCCCACATTGATGACACTTAGGGGAGGCGGTGCACCCCTTCTTGCTACCTTCTTCCCTCTATATCTCATCTTATTTCTTACTCCCTTCTTTCTCTCCCTGTCTCATTCTCACTTTATTTTCTTAAACTTTATCTCTCACCACCTCCTCTGTCTTACCACCTCAGCCTTCTACACCACTTTCCACCACCCTCCTCTCTCCCCTCCTTTCTGTAATTGGAAAACCAGAAATAAAACAAAGTCCACTGCTGCCCTGACCTATTTATGTGTCTGACCTATTTATGTGTGTGGGTAAACTTCTCTATTTTCCACCAGTGGTGGGTTTGGGATCCCCTGGACTTTTTTTTTTTCTTCATAAAATGACCTTGGCTCTCAGGTCACCAGCCTTAAGTGTAAGAAATTGAATTATTGTTGTCACACACAGATAGGACAAGCAAGGGGCAGTAGGGGGTTAGCACTGTTGTTTTTGGACCACGGCCACATTCACATTGGGAGAGGGTAGGAACCGGAAAAGTGGCCTCACTTAGAGATTTCCTAATTCTATTTTTGGCACTCATTGTTCTTACACCCACCCCCCCCCCCCCCCCACAACCGTGTCTTACCTTTCTTCTCTCACCCTTCTCTTTCCTTTGATCTTCTACTATTCTCCTTTCTCTCTCCATTCTTCCTCTCTTCCTTTCCTTGCCCTTTCTCCTGTCCCATCTCTTCTTTGTCTCCTCTCCATCCTGTCTTTTCATTTTCTCTAGATTTCCTTACTCGCTCCCCTCTCTCATTCTCTCCCCCCCCCCCCCCATTTTTTTTACTGGTTCATCTACGTATTTTTTTGCCCCATAACTATCTTTTCCTAGTGGTTGTGTCCACACTTGAAATTGGGGGGGGGGCTGTTTTTTTTCTTTAATGTATCTTGTCTCCCTTCCTGCCCCTCTCTCTTAATCTGTGTTTGTCACGGCCTTCCTTACCCACCTCTCTCTCTCTCTTGCTTTATGTCTGTTTGCCTCCCTTCATCACTTCCTCTTTGTATACCTCCCTCCCATTCTCCTGCTCTGCCTTTTTTCTCTTTCTTTGGTTCTCTCCCTCTGTCTGCTTGCCTCTCTGTGCTGTCCCTTTGTCTCTCTCTCCTTTATGTCTACATCTCTCTCTGCTTGCATCTGCTTCTCGCCCTGTCCGTTCTTTCTCCCTCTGTCTCCCTTCTTTCAACTCTTTGTCATATTTTCCTCCTTCCATATCTCTGTTTCGTTCCCTTTTTCCTTCTCTTTTCATCTGCCCATCTCTGTATCTGCATTCCCTCCTTCTGTATTTGTCTCCCTCTCTGTCTTTCGCTGTCCCTTCCCCACTTTTCCTCATCATGTCTCCATAAATCCCTCTCATTTTTTCCTCCTTCCCCAGACTTCTTTTCCTTCTTTTCTCTACCTTCATCTGTCCATCTTTACACTGTCTCTGCCAGCCTACCTCAGCATGTGTCTTCCTCTCTCTTCATGACTCTCTCTCTCTCCCCTAACCCTCTCAGGTACCAGGTCCAGAACAGACAGGACTTCAGTTTGCTGCCCTCTACCACCAAGCCCTAAAAAAAATTTCAAACACTAATTCAAGCTCAGGGGCCGACCAACACGAAGATGGGCACAGGATATAAGTGACTCCTTGAGTATAAAAAGTACATGAGGCGGGAGAGCTGGTGAGAGATTGACAAAGGAAATGCTACATGATGATGATATCTGTGCTGGTATACCAACACATGTGGCACAAATGAAGTACCTTGTGTGCTCAGTACACCCTTGAACAAGGCAAAAATCTTGTTTCAGTATTACACCGAGACAACCTTGAAAAAAACTAAGGAGACCTTGAAAAAGACCATGAAAAGCCTTGAAATTGATTGGTAAATTTGGCTATGAACCCTGTTAGATCAGGACTCGGTGGTCATTTGGGTATAATCAGGTACTTGTTGGGAATCTGTAGAGCAGGACTTGTTGGTAGTTGGGGATTTAGAGGTCAGGACTTGTTGGTAGTTGAGATGTGTATGTGTGAATATGTACACATGTATTTGTGAATATATGTGTATAAATGTATGCACTTATACAGAAAGGGAGTATATGTGAAACTTGACAAAGCAAACCTAAATGCACTATTGTCTTAACTAATGCTTTGTAAACAAATCATAGACTGTTATTTAACATGGATAAATGCAATGTTTTGTTTGTTTCTCCAATAGGGACTGGGAACATTTCAGCTTCTTGATCTTCTGCTGATGTGTGTTGGACACCACTTGTACGAGGTAATGATTATTACGTGGTTACACTTATGTCTTCTGGGTTCAACATTGTGAGAGAGACAGAGCGAGGCAGTGCATGTAGAACTAGCCTGTCTCTGATAAAAATTTATTGTTGGAAAAGAAGCCCGCTATGGAATATAACTCTTTAGGTCCTAAGAAACACAGGATATGTTTACAACTGCGCTCGAGTCCCAGTCTGCGAATGATGCTCGGTTTATATGTCTCATATTAAAGTATCACTGGAAAGAAAATTGAATGGTCTTTCCGGTTTTTTCTTTTCAATAGCAACATATTGGGCATTAGGTTCTTCTCCAAAAGATATTTAAAAGCATAAAATATGGTTTGCATGTGAGCTTTATTGTTTGTTTGAAAACTGTAAGACAACCAAGCAGTCCGTCCTTTCACACTCTCCAACAACAGTTTACTGCTTTAGAAGCTTCACATTTAAATAAAACAATCTGTTGATCTGCTTTTGTGAAGTCATATGAAGAAAGTAGCGAAGTAGACTTGTTTTAATGGTTTAAAGTCAAGCTTTTGATGAGGAATAGCTCTGTTATGTTCCTCATGTAAAGTTTTCAGTTGTCAGAAACTAGAATGCACAGAATATATTAGTGAAACAGTATTTTCTACACTATCTGTTGATTCTAGCTATATTCTCCTTATTATTTAGGAACACAATTAATTACATAGTTATGAGCAGTTTGAGTGTTATAGGGTTCTTTTTGTGTGAAAATAATAATTGTTTTGGGAAATAAAAAATACCAAGTAATGTTGCCCTATCAAAGATTTAAACAGCGGGGAATGGAGAGTGAGAGGCAACAAAGAAATTCATAATCTGTTTCAATCACCTTTGATTATTGGCATCATGAGAGCTAATAGGTTGAAATTGCTGGGGCGTATTGAGAGTATGTCAAATGACAGAGAGGTAAAAACTGTATACTAAGGGGATGAATGGTCTGACTACAAGGCAGCCGATGGAGAGATAATGTCCAGAGAGACCTGCAAACACTTAGTATTACCAACTGGAAAAAGGCCAACCAGAGAGATGAGTGGAGGTAGCTGATATCTGCAGCAGTGAACCTCAAGGGCTTGGAATGCTGAAGAAAAAGAAGTAATAGTGCTGTGTGATGATGTTCCAAACGATTCTGTGGAACAAGATCTAATGTACAGATTGCGTTTATATTTTATTTATGAATTACTAAGTGGTTCTTATTCATTTTTGTTTCATTCTGGATATATTTCGTCATGTGATCACCAAAATCACGGATCATATCTATGTTCTTCCCCTGCCATTTGTCGCCAAATTTTCAAGTGTATTCTTCTTTCTCATAACTGGTTCATAAAGTGTGTATTTAAGATGCAACTAGGAATAAGGAGAGGCTGGCCAATGGATTAAAGTACTAGGCTTTCCATTTCATGCATGCAGGTTTGATACTCGGTAAGGGATGGAGACTTCTTTTAGGGATACAAATAAAAATCCTTACCTGCACAGTTCAGTTTTAAATCCTTTGACTACTTACCCTCCTCTCCTGCTGCCTGTATTTATTACATTTGCAGTGTAAGCAGAAAGGGGGAGTGTGATTTTGAGCCTGGGGATTTAGGGCCACATGGGTAGTGCTGTCGGCGTGGACTGCAGGGTAGGATTTTATTTTTGCCCTTGACGGAAAGAATCTGTGACCTTAGAGAGGGTTTAAACCTGGGTCTCCCCGCATGAGAGCCCAGCATTCTTAGTCCTTCCCTACACTGCCCTAAAAGCAGAGACAAAGATAAAAAAAACAACATGATTCAGCACACAACACACAGACTGGCTGGGATTAAGCCTGGGATGGGCATGTGTCCTCTCAGGTTTCAGGAATTTATTGTCCACAGACTCTAAACCTACTGTTCTTCAACCCATGTGTCGCCAAAAAAAAGTCCAGATGGTAGGGTAGGTCGTTTTTCTCTTCAGTGGTTGCAGTCTAGCTGTGAGCAGCTGAAAATTGTACTTTTGTCAAATCAGATATCATTAAAAACAATGACTGCTGTGTATATTTGTGCGTATGTACATGTGTTTGATTAGCTGTCACGTGGGCCGCAAAATATTTTCCCCTGTTTTGATGAGCCGCTGGCTTAAACAGTTTGGAAAATACTGCTCTAACCCATTATGCAGGGTTTATTTTCAGTGAGAAAGTAATTAGAGTGTTTACACAATTTTCACAGTGGCTGTTCTTAATTATCTTTGCGAAATAGGTGGGGGAGATAACTTTCAACTTCTGGTATCGGTTATCGGAAGAACTTTACCAGCGAGATAACCAGGAGCTGACCGACATGTTTAAACCATACATACAGACTTTAATACTGTCCTTGTGCCAGCATTGTCAGATGGATGAAGACCACGTAAGTTCTGTGTCTGTCAATTTGTGTTGTTACTTTATTTTCTACTTTTAGTGCCCTTTTTTTTAACTCTCTGGGTAGCAAGGAATTCATCACATGTTGATTTATAATCAGTTTAACTGTCCTCTGGTCATGAAAAAGTTAAGATGATTTTTACATTAAGACACACCCAGATTATGTGAACCTGTCATATCATAAGCTTAAGATAGGCTTGGCTGATCTCTCTCTCTCTCTCTCTCTCTCTCTCTCTCTCTCTCTCTCTCTCTCTCTCTCTCTCTCTCTCTCTCTCTCTCTCTCTCTCTCTCTCTCTCTCCTCTCTCTCCTCTCTCTCTCTCTCTCTCTCTCTCTCTCTCTCTCTCTCTCTCTCTCTCTCTCTCTCTCTCTCTCTCTCTCTCTCTCTCACTCACTCTCACTCACTCACCTGAATTGGTGGTGTGGTCAGCATCATGCTGGCCAACTCGAGGTCATGAGTTCACTTTACCTTCTCTGTTATAACCATATAGTATAGCACTTGATCTCCCACAGGGTTCCACCATGTTCCCAGTATTTTTCAATGCATACACAAGCAGACTAGCGACAGTAAAGACAATGGGTATAGGGAGAATCTTGACCTTTGCGGATGATGTCGATCATCAATCCAGTGTTGTGTGTTGTCGGACATTAAAATAAACCGACAGTAACATAAAGAGAAATAATTCACTAAAATATCTAGGAATTACTTTTGACAGTAGTCAGTATTTAAATTACATCTTGGACGAGGTAGTTTTAAATCTAGTGAAAAAACTCGGTGCTTTAAAGGTGATGGCATCAGCAAACATGGAACAGAAAATGCTCTATACACTCTACCAGTAACTAATTATTTCGGTGATAGAGTATGGTTTTGGACTGCTAAAATTATCTCATACCCAAATAGAGAAGTTAGAACACATGCAAAATTAAATCATGAGAAAAATCATTTAGGGGTATACACGAAACACACCAAATGTTTGCATGCGGCACATACTTGCATTGCCAACTGTATTTGAAAGAGACAAGATTTTACAGGCCAAAATGTACCTTAAAGTCGCAACGGACAGGGAGCACCTTCTGCATAGGGGCTTAGGGGATAGCAAGGGACCTTGGCCGAAAAGAGGTAACACTTGGATGACACAGACAGAAGTCACAATCAGAACTATCTGTGCTACTGACAAGATAGCGCTTGGTTAAGAAAGGGTTACAGTGCCGCCCAGCAAAACAGACTTGCACAGAGTGATAGTTACCTTGGACCGAGGGTGCTGGGAAGGAAACAGAGTCAATGATGCAAGAACTGATCAATGAAAATTCACGCTCAGGTGACATCATAATATATACTGATGGGTCTGTAGTAAAAGGTAAGAAGACTGGGTGGGGTTCTATTGCAAAGGTTAATGGACACTGCTTTGAAACAGAGAGCCTTGCGTACAACGTGACTACATCCAGTATCAGAATGAAAGTGAGGCAGTAATGGCAGCTTTCCGATGGCTTGAAAGCAGCACAGCCTCACATGTTGTAATTTAACATAGTCACAGAACGTGTTTCGGGAAATTGAAACTGGTTTCGTGCGTGCAGAGTGGCTTGTATCACTTGATAAGACTCAGAACAGGAGCATATCGTATTTTCTGTCGAGGACTTTCAGGTTTGCAGGTCAAAGGTAGCAGGCTGATAGATTAGCTGCTGTCGCCCCTCTGGGCGGTGAGCTTTTATATGATAAAGCTATTGTGGTGAAGGCTCTGTGGGATCAGATGGATAGGGTAATAGAACAGATAGGAAATAAAAACACTAAAAGAGGTTCTGAAAGGCATTCTTGTTGGGAAAACAGAGGCAGACTTTTAATCAGATTGAAACAGATCCCTTAGTATTGTCGCTGGAGTTAAGGGAGTTCATGTTTTATGTGACGCTTTCATTAGATAGATGGCTGTTCTGTAGAGAGAGACTGAGCCATATGTATAAAACCTGGTGCATTTAAAACTATGTTCTCAGTACTTTTAAAGCTTCTGATTGTTTATATTGACACTTATGTGTTATGTTTTGCTTGAGAGAATAAGAAGTTGTGATTATGAGACTGATACACTACTAAGTCTGCAGGGAGGGGGGTATGTAAATTAGATTATTAGTTTTTTCTTTATATAAACTTAGCATTAATTAAACTCAATCTTTCTATTTGACAGGAAGGGGTACCTGATGAGTCTGGGGATTTTGGAGATTTCAGGGTCCGGGTCTCGGAGCTCATCAAAGATGTTGTTTTTATTGCAGGGTCTTCTTCATGTTTTATTCAGGTTACTGTTTGTTTATATTGTGTTCATATTAACTTGTGTTTGTTAATTAACTTCATATGTACGAGGCTGCTAACACAAGTGTTGATACTTTCTTCTGGCATAATATGCTTTTCCCAATGCCTCGTATCTTCTGCAGTTGTTGCATTAACCCTGCTCATTTCCACTTATTATTTTAGATGTTTCTCTTCAGCATTGTTACAGTCGTCGTCTGTGGCTTAGGAAATCATTCGGGTCGCACTTGCTTCCAGTGACATTTTCTGGTGCATACTTAGGCGTTGTAAATGTGCTTTGTAATTCTATGGTGCTGGGTTCAATTCCATCTGTGGGTGATTTAGCAGCAGAAAACCTTACTTTGGTTTTAACAGTGGTATCGAGAGCTGAAGGTTTAGAAAGAACATAAAATTGCCTAATGAAATGATAGCCAGAACATGCTGGGGACGGTTCTGCAATCACCTATAAAGGACACAGAGCAATTTTTTTTTTAAATTAAAAAAAGAACTCAGGATACTCCCATAAGTGCTCTGTCTCCATCTTCAGCAGCAAGCGAAGAGTTCAGTTCTGATTGTACCAGTAACTGTCTGATTGTACATCTGTTAGTGTAGCGCGTTGGCCAGATAACCTGGTATTCCCTAGCAGCGCCATTCTTCTCAGACCATAATGATTCTATTAGTGCCTCTGCACTGCTCGCTCGCTCCCAAAGAGCCCTTAAATCATCTATCTTGTCTTACACAGCTCACCGCCAAGTGGTGCAGAACTGGCCAGTCTGCTGCCTGCTCGTTTCCCAACACACCAGCATAACCTGTGCTAGCTAGGGACTAGTAATAAATACATCCCAGCTAAGATTTAACAGTGTGTCCATGTTAACCGAGTGTTCTTAAGACGACGCTCAGTGACTGGTGTGGCTATCATTCCGGTTGCATTTGCTTCCAATGACATTTTCTGATGCTGACTTTTTTCTGTGTCACCTCGGGAGCCCCTAGATCAATTTGATAAAATCAGCACCTGTGCAAATTCAAACCCAAGACTGACACACATCTGGTGATTAGTTGCATGTGCAGCTACTGATCTGTTGTAACGGACTATAAACTGCATTTCTAGTGTCTGATTGTTCGTGTTGAACTTCTGACGCTGCCTGATGTTTTTAATGCATGTGTGTGCTATTAGATTTGCTGAGACTGCAGTCTGTGTCAGTGTTTTGGCAAGGGACAGTGGGAGACATTGTTTTGGCAAGGGACAGTGGGAGACATTGTTTTGGCAAGGGACAGTGGGAGACATTGTTTTGGCAAGGGACAGTGGGAGACATTGTTTTGGCAAGGGACAGTGGGAGACATTACGTATGATTTTTTTTGTTGGCACTGGAACTGCACAACTATGGATTGACCCGTTTTCTCTGTAACTGATACTGTGATTATATTATTACTTGTCTGGCAACCTTGTTGCCATGACTTGCTTGATAATGAGAATTAATGTTTTGAAGAGGTATTGTAGTGTTTGAGGAGTGGCTGGCCCAGTGTCTAGAGTGCTGGGTCCTTGTGCAGGAGACCTGGTTTGATCCACAGTAAAGTGATGAGTTTTTTCCGTTGGCAAAAATAAACAGCCTAGCACTTGCACAGTTTGTGGCGGCTAGGGCCCTAAATCCTCAGGTTCAATAACCCCCACCCTACATATACCTACAAAATGATACTGTTTGCAGTAATAAGTTTTTAAATGTCTTAGGGAGCTGCCATAAATAGTGGCTAGACGCTTGCATGCGAATCGGTGGATCATGGGTCCTGACAGGAGCCTTTTCTTTTTTAAGCTTTACTCCCATGTCGACCGAGCCTGAGCTGGTACCAGGAACAGTCCTGGGAAGTAAAGGTAACCAGCATAATGCTGACCCCCCCCCCCCCTCCCCCGAATGCTGTTTTGGCCTAAAAAACATAGGTCTAGCCCTGTGCACACAATACGCCTGAAGGTGAGGAAAAGGGTCCTTTACTTTAATTTTAAATGTGGTTTTTATGTTGGGAATATATATATATATTTTTTTCCTTCTGCAGATGTTTGAAAATCTGAAATCCCCCAAAACACCCTCCTGGTGTGTGGCAGAAGCAGCTCTCTTTGTGATGACAGCCGTAGCAAAAAATATTTTACCGTGAGTGTTGGTGTCATGGTTGAAGCAAATCTTTAGCCATTTGTTATAAATTGTGTTTGTTGCCTCTATTCTGTCTGGTTTGTGGCAAGTGTGACATAGTTTCCGCCGCATGTTTTTGACAAAATGTTTGCCCTATTTGTGCAAGCCAGCAGTCTGGTAACTAATACCTAGGGATGAAAGTATTCTTAGTTTTATAACAAGTAACTAAACTTGCCAGCTAAGTTAATCCATGAAAGCGGCATTAGCTTCCCAAAAAAAAACCCACAATCGTTCCATGTTGTCAGCATTAAGGAAGCTGAAGGTATTTCCAGCAGTACTAAACAGACGTTTACTTGGTACGCTTGTAGGTGGTGCACAAAGATAACGCTGGACAGTATGAACCAAGGTGGGAAATCTTGACAAGTTTATTTTCCACCAGTCCAGAAATGGGTGTGATGTAACCACTATTCGTATTCGACCCGGCTGCAACTATTCGGCTGAATAGTTATTAGGTCTACTATTCGGCCCCGAAGCAAATACGAAGCGAATATTCGGTACAGCCCTAATTATAACCAGTCATTATAAGCAGCTTCTTATAAGGACAGTCACTAAAGGTACCCTGGGCTGGCTGCTGCATCGGAGAACTGAGCAGGCAGGAGAATACCTAATTTGCAGTTACATCGACTGTGATAACATCATTGACTGTTTATGGGCGGTTAACAAGTAAAGGCTTATAGCATATGCTCATTGTGTTAATGGATTTGAAAAGGGCTTTTATTTTAAATTTATTATTTAAGGCATTACAGAATGGCCTATTGATATGTGAATCTTTTTGATGTGTTTACAGGGAAGAAAATGAGATAGTGCCTCAGGTTGTGGAGTCCATTCTTGCCTTGCCAGACAGCACTCATATCTCGGTGAGATACACCAGCATTCAGCTGTTGGGAGAGCTGTCTGAGTGGATAGAGAACCATGCCAGTTTACTTGGTTAGTCTTGTTCTTTCTGTTTGTGTCTCCTTCTCTGTCAGTATATATGCTTCTCTTTTCACGCTCTTATGAGAATGATGCTGCAGGAAGTGACTGGATCTGGCTGACAGGGAAAAGGTAAGCAAGGAAAATGAATAACCCACTGCCACCATAACAAGCATGTCTTAAGAGGCAGCTGATTAGGGGTCATTTCTTCCAAATTAGAGTGCATCGGTCTACAACTCTTATCCAAAACCCGATTGGACACACGTATACACTGATGGATCACTGGAGGGAGCAGAAAAAAAACGGAGGAGCTAAATCGGTCATCATGCTACAAAATGGGACCACAGTAGAAACGTCATGCGCCTCTGGAAGACGCAACAAACTTCAGAACAGAGCAGCAAGCAATTATTGATTCAGCCTAAGAGCTTGAAAGAAAAATTAAAAACAGCAAAACTGTTTTCCTTTGTGACTGCATGTCAGTCCTCCAAGCCACTCAGGGGGATCAACGAGACAACTTGGAAAGAGAACTGACCCGCCAGCTAAACAGACTCGCAAAAAATAATTAAGTGGATCGCAGCTAACTGTTGCATGCCATGAAATGAGTTAGCAGACAGACTTGCAAAAAAACAAAAAACTGAAGAAAGGAGAAACAACACACCCATTAATTGTCATTACCAGAAATCAGAACACTTATCAAGGGAAAGTACATGGAATTGTGGAGAGAACAAACAGTAAACATTCACAAGACCCCATTATCGGACTCAACAGAAAGCAACATACAACAATATTCCATATATGAACAGGACATTGCAGGCTCAACTACCACATGCATAAAATAAAGATTGTACAGTCCCCACAGTGTGCCTGTCAGACAGGACCAAAAACACCTGAGCACATTCTGCAGACCTGCCCACTCCACCTACAATTTCGAAAAGACACCTGGCCTCAAGAGCAAAGTGTGCAGAGCAAGTTATGGAGAACCATGAAGGTCCTGCTGCTGATGTGCGAGTTCATAGAGGCAACCCACCTGATGGTCTGATGTGAGCATACGAAACCGAACGCAAAGAAAAAGACGAAGAAGAAGAGTGCATCTGCCTAAGAGGTGAGGTGTCAACAGCCTGCATGCAAATAAGCCAGAACTGTAAAACGGATGTGCCCGCAAAGTGTAAGTTTTGGAACAAGACCAAGTCCAGAACTGGACAAACAACCAGAACTTTCTGCCAGAGTTTTAGCTGGTGAACACAAAGAAGGAATGATCACACCATAGATACATTAATTACCACTATTGCCACTCCGACAAGCATTTAATACAAAATGACTAAATTAGGGCTTTGCTGAAATTGGATGCGTTGGGCACAGATATCCAGCCTAGTTGTAAACCACAACACATAGTGTCAGTTGCCTTTTTTAGAGAAGACAGAAGAACAATCAATCATATATTAAACAATATTGCCTCTCCCCAGACTTAATCCTCCAGTATTTGCTCGTGGGCCTCCAGCAACCTCAGCTTTCATCGATTGCTGCCAACGCCCTGCAGAACATCAGCACGCAGTGCCGAGATCACATGACCAACCATTTCCAGGGACTCATGCACATCGTCAAGTCCATGGAGACGTTCAGTCTGTCATCAGATGCAGCCATTGGTCTGCTCAAAGGTAGCTTCCTTCTGTGACTTTTTTTTTTTATTGATTTGATATCTTGCACAGTATTCTTGAGTACTGTGGTTTTATTCCTGTGGCAGACAGCTTTTTAAAAAAAAAAAAATATTGTCATGGTTTTGGACCGAAGAACGAGAGTCGCACCATGGAAAAAAAATCAGGCCTCACCAGATAATATTCCCAAAACAGCAGTTGTACACTGTAGCCAACCTTCATTGTGAAGATGGCACAAAAGACTGAGTTTTAGTAGGTAATGATGGAAAGGCCAGAGAACCATGCTGAACACATAACAAGAGGAAGATGACATGAAATGTGGAATGATGGCGTCAAGAAATAAAGATTAGTTTATTCAACACATTTAAAGTAGCACACAGAAGATCCATTTATCTCTTCCAACACCTTGACAAGGTAACAGGAGGAAGATAATAGGATGAAAATGAACTGCCCATGTAATATTGTCTGTTGTGTAGGCAGAATAGCTGATTAGATAAGTGATTAGATCACTGAGCACTTATGCATGAGAGCAAGGTTCAATCCTTGGTATGGAATGAAGATTCTGTCTGGGCAAAACTACAAATCTTAACCGACCCAGTTGATAGCAACTACATTAGCCTCACTCCTCCAATGCACTAAAAGTTGTTAATGCTGGCAGTCATAGCAAAGCCAGTTATGGCTTTTGATTTTTGCATTTCTGTAATTGGTGTAGTTTTCCATTGTCCTTTCTCCATATTTTTTGCATGAACATCCATTCTAAAGTTGCATTACTTTTTTTTAAAGCATTTTTTAAAAGACAGCCAGTGATTATTTTTGTTGTAAATTTGGTTTTCTTGTTTCTTTTTGCAGGAACAGCCACCATCTTAAGCCGATTACCATCCAACGATATTACAGAAGCTCTCAGACAACTGTGTGCCTGCCAGATTTCTCCACTAGAGAAGGCACTGCTGAATTCTATTATATTGTGCTGTTGTAGATTTTTTAAATGATTTTTTTTTTTTACCTATATGGTCCACACACTCACAAACCCAACAGTGAATAGTATTTAAAGACTCGGATAAATTTAATTGCACTCGTTTTTTTTAATCTTCTTTTAATCAACTGAAATAAGTTGTCTATTTAGGCAGTTTTGCTCCTTGAACACATTTCATATTATTGGGGGGGTGGGGGGTGTGTAGTTGAATGGTCTATACAGTTGTAAAGATAAGGTTCTACTGTTGTTCTTTATGGCCAAAATGTTTGCCTTAATGGGTCATATTTAGGGCAGTTTTGAAGTATCTGTTCTGCTGTCTGGGGTGATGCACCACATGCGCACATATACATGTGGCTGCCTGATAGGCTGTGTCCTGTTCTGAGGTGCATGATTATGACATGTTCTGGTCTACCCATAATAAAGTTGTCATCTTAGGCCGAGGTTGGTGGTACACTGAGTTTTATCCCATATGGCTCAGTCTCTGTAGGGCAGATGTTTGTCTAATGAAAGCATTAATTTCAATTCCTAGCTTCAGTGATGACTGCCAGGATCTCTGCAACTGCCAACAAAACAACACAGTCCAAAACAGAATCTGTAATCTTTAAAATGCATGGCAAAAGCATAATGGCTTTGCCTCAACTCTTTTACTCTGGAAAACCCTTGGGAAAGGGCCCAGAAAAAAATAACACAACCATTTTTCTTTACAGAATTTACTGTTAAATTTATTTACAATTTATTTATAAATATTTCAAACTATGTCTAGAAATATATGTAGGGGATTAATCAGTAAACATGAACATAGTAGAGAATTAAATTATATCATTCCCTTTAAACCTAAAACAATTTATATAGTGACTCATACAGTGACTCTGTTGCTGTATGACTCGCTTAAGGCACATTATGAGAAGAAAACATAATTTTTTCTTTACAAAACCCACACAAATTTTTTTGATGGACAAATGTAATCATATCTGGCCCTCGCAAATGCTGCTCAGATGCAAACAGAACTTTACTTACTTATTTAGTTGCTTCTCTTCTGCCTTGGGGTGTATAGGTATCCCAGAGAGATCGCCAGATTTCTCTTTCAGCAGCTTTGCAATCAGAACCAGTGTTGTTAACTAGGCTTGTCATAGACTAGCTAATGCAGCGCCTGATAGCATCCTAGGGATGTGTGACGGACAGCAATGCTGCAATAACACCTTATAGCTATAGGAAAATACGATTCAAAGCAATGTTTTCCCATTGTGAATAAGTTAAGAAAGACACCAACAGTAGATTACACCTGACATTTGTCACGGTATCTCAGCAGATACATCCTACAACAATGATATCATTATTATTCAGCTCCCACTGTTACAATTGGAGCATAGAGTTAGTTTGTACTGAAAGAGTTATTGTCGTTATAATTGGACCCTTTATTATTACATCTAGAGAATACCGTTACGGTTAATTTATACTATTAACCTGCATTATACCAGTGTCTCTACCTTTACAGTTTGTACTATTAATTTTTTATAATACCAAACTCCCCTCAGTTTTCACTATTAATTTATCAGAGTCCACACTCCTAAAGTTTATATTGTGAATTTCCATTATACTCCCGGGTCCCTACTGTTAGTTTTATACTTATTTATTATATCAAGCTTCCCACTATTATAATTAGTACAGTCCGGGATTCTACATGGTTACAGTTAATATAAAACCTAGCTCCCCCACTGTAACAGTTTGTTCATCACCTAGCTCCCCCCATTGTTACAGTTTATTCAACACCTAGCTCCCCCACTGTAACAGTTTATTCAACACCTAGCTCTCCCACTGTAACAGTTTGTTCATCACCTAGCTCCCCCCGCTGTTACAGTTTGTTCATCACCTAGCTCCCCCCGCTGTTACAGTTTGTTCATCACCTAGCTCCCCCACTGTTACAGTTTGTTCATCACCTAGCTCCCCCACTGTTACAGTTTGTTCATCACCTAGCTCCCCCCATTGTTACAGTTTGTTCAACACCTAGCTTCCCCCATTGTTACAGTTTGTTCAACACCTAGCTCCCCCACTGTTACAGTTTGTTCAACACCTAGCTCCCCCCATTGTTACAGTTTGTTCAACACCTAGCTCCCCCCATTGTTACAGTTTGTTCAACACCTAGCTTCCCCCATTGTTACAGTTTGTTCAACACCTAGCTTCCCCCATTGTTACAGTTTGTTCAACACCTAGCTCCCCCACTGTTACAGTTTGTTCAACACCTAGCTCCCCCCACTGTTACAGTTTGTTCAACACCTAGCTCCCCCACTGTTACAGTTTGTTCAACACCTAGCTCCCCCACTGTTACAGTTTATTCAACACCTAGCTCCCCCCACTGTTACAGTTTGTTCAACACCTAGCTCCCCCACTGTTACAGTTTGTTCAACACCTAGCTCCCCCCACTGTTACAGTTTGTTCAACACCTAGCTCCCCCACTGTTACAGTTTATTCAACACCTAGCTCCTCCCACTGTTACAGTTTGTTCAACACCTAGCTCCCCCACTGTTACAGTTTGTTCAACACCTAGCTCCCCCCGCTGTTACAGTTTATTCAACACCTAGCTCCCCCACTGTTACAGTTTGTTCAACACCTAGCTCCCCCACTGTTACAGTTTGTTCAACACCTAGCTCCCCCCGCTGTTACAGTTTATTCAACACCTAGCTCCCCCACTGTTACAGTTTGTTCAACACCTAGCTCCCCCACTGTTACAGTTTGTTCAACACCTAGCTTCCCCTGCTGTTACAGTTTATTCAACACCTAGCTCCCCCACTGTTACAGTTTGTTCAACACCTAGCTCCCCCCACTGTTACAGTTTATTCAACACCTAGCTCCCCCACTGTTACAGTTTATTCAACACCTAGCTCCCCCCACTGTTACAGTTTATTCAACACCTAGCTCCCCCACTGTTACAGTTTGTTCAACACCTAGCTCCCCCCACTGTTACAGTTTATTCAACACCTAGCTCCCCCACTGTTACAGTTTGTTCAACACCTAGCTCCCCCAGCTGTTACAGTTTATTCAACACCTAGCTCCCCCACTGTTACAGTTTATTCATCACCTAGCTCCCCCCACTGTTACAGTTTATTCAACACCTAGCTCCCCCACTGTTACAGTTTGTTCAACACCTAGCTCCCCCAGCTGTTACAGTTTATTCAACACCTAGCTCCCCCACTGTTACAGTTTGTTCAACACCTAGCTCCCCCCACTGTTACAGTTTATTCAACACCTAGCTCCCCCACTGTTACAGTTTATTCAACACCTAGCTCCCCCCACTGTTACAGTTTATTCAACACCTAGCTCCCCCACTGTTACAGTTTGTTCAACACCTAGCTCCCCCCACTGTTACAGTTTGTTCAACACCTAGCTCCCCCACTGTTACAGTTTGTTCAACACCTAGCTCCCCCACTGTTACAGTTTATTCAACACCTAGCTCCCCCCACTGTTACAGTTTGTTCAACACCTAGCTCCCCCACTGTTACAGTTTGTTCAACACCTAGCTCCCCCCACTGTTACAGTTTGTTCAACACCTAGCTCCCCCACTGTTACAGTTTATTCAACACCTAGCTCCTCCCACTGTTACAGTTTGTTCAACACCTAGCTCCCCCACTGTTACAGTTTGTTCAACACCTAGCTCCCCCGCTGTTACAGTTTATTCAACACCTAGCTCCCCCACACTGTTACAGTTTGTTCAACACCTAGCTCCCCCACTGTTACAGTTTGTTCAACACCTAGCTCCCCCCGCTGTTACAGTTTATTCAACACCTAGCTCCCCCACTGTTACAGTTTGTTCAACACCTAGCTCCCCCACTGTTACAGTTTGTTCAACACCTAGCTCCCCCTGCTGTTACAGTTTATTCAACACCTAGCTCCCCCACTGTTACAGTTTGTTCAACACCTAGCTCCCCCCACTGTTACAGTTTATTCAACACCTAGCTCCCCCACTGTTACAGTTTATTCAACACCTAGCTCCCCCCACTGTTACAGTTTATTCAACACCTAGCTCCCCCACTGTTACAGTTTGTTCAACACCTAGCTCCCCCCACTGTTACAGTTTATTCAACACCTAGCTCCCCCACTGTTACAGTTTGTTCAACACCTAGCTCCCCCAGCTGTTACAGTTTATTCAACACCTAGCTCCCCCACTGTTACAGTTTATTCATCACCTAGCTCCACCCACTGTTACAGTTTATTCAACACCTAGCTCCCCCACTGTTACAGTTTGTTCAACACCTAGCTCCCCCAGCTGTTACAGTTTATTCAACACCTAGCTCCCCCACTGTTACAGTTTGTTCAACACCTAGCTCCCCCCACTGTTACAGTTTATTCAACACCTAGCTCCCCCACTGTTACAGTTTATTCAACACCTAGCTCCCCCCACTGTTACAGTTTATTCAACACCTAGCTCCCCCACTGTTACAGTTTGTTCAACACCTAGCTCCCCCCGCTGTTACAGTTTATTCAACACCTAGCTCCCCCACTGTTACAGTTTGTTCAACACCTAGCTCCCCCACTGTTACAGTTTGTTCAACACCTAGCTCCCCCCGCTGTTACAGTTTATTCAACACCTAGCTCCCCCACTGTTACAGTTTGTTCAACACCTAGCTCCCCCCACTGTTACAGTTTATTCAACACCTAGCTCCCCCACTGTAACAGTTTGTTCATCACCTAGCTCCCCCACTGTTACAGTTTGTTCAACACCTAGCTCCCCCCACTGTTACAGTTTGTTCAACACCTAGCTCCCCCACTGTTACAGTTTATTCAACACCTAGCTCCCCCCACTGTTACAGTTTATTAAACACCTAGCTCCCTGCGCTGTTACAGTTTGTTCAACACCTAGCTCCCCCACTGTTACAGTTTGTTCAACACCTAGCTCCCCCCGCTGTTACAGTTTGTTCAACACCTAGCTCCCCCACTGTTACAGTTTATTAAACACCTAGCTCCCCCCACTGTTACAGTTTATTCAACACCTAGCTCCCCCCGCTGTTACAGTTTGTTCAACACCTAGCTCCCCCACTGTTACAGTTTATTAAACACCTAGCTCCCCCACTGTTACAGTTTGTTTAGTACCTAGCTCCTCCACTCCCGTTACATTTATACAATACAAGCCTTCCCATATTACAGTTTTTAACTCCATATTTTTTATTATACCGAGCTCCCGACCGTTACAGTTTGTATGATTACTGTATTTTCCTTTTTAGCTAGCCCACTACTCTTACATGTTGTACTGTTAAAATTATTTTCAAATAAGCTAGCCCCTACCATTCACCTGAAGTTTACTCTTAGTTAGTTCTTTTATATAGTTAATTCACTTATTGTTACATTTGAAGCCTCTTGTAACATGTGAAGCCCAGGGTTACATCTAATGTCTTATATAATGTATACTGACAGTTACTTTGTGAAGAAAGTGGACCGGTGAAGCACGGAGCAGCAAATGACCCCACAGTATGGCTGGACAGACTAGCTACAGTGTTTAGGTAAACAATGTTTAATAGAGCGCCAGGTGCTCCACACACAAAAAGTCAAAGATTTGGTCAAGTTTGTAGCTATGAGATAGAAAGCCAGTTTCACACTAACTCTTTTCTATATTTAAAAAAACAAAACATTTTTTGAGCCATAATGTAGATTTTACTTTGCTTCCTTACGGGGCTGTGTATGAGTTGGGCTTGTAGTGAATTGTTATGTGATCAAACTTTTCTCAGGGTGAGGATTGTGAAGCATAAGAACCTACATGTTTAAAACAACATGATAAATCTGTCTAAGCACTAGCACAGAAATTGGTCACACTTTTGAGGGCATGTATCCTTCCTGTAGTAACATCTGGATGCAAGTCTTGAACTTTCTTCTAGTCATTAAGAAAGAAAATGGGGACTTTTGAGCTGAAATGCTATAGGAATATTCTCAGAATACCATTGGCCAAGTAGAAAAGAAATAGTGACATTCTAAAAGGCCTCATCCATTAAGATGGCTAGTAAACAGCTTCTTGTCTCAGAAAGTGAACTATTTTGGCTATTGTAAAAAAAATCTAAACATGAGATGTGGTGCCAGAAAAGGGGCAGGAGCTGACCAGCTTAACTCTTTAAAGCCCAAACAACGGTGTGAGCGTTGTTTTACAAAGTTCCGTTTTGCCCAAAAAATGGCGTCATTGTCGATTGTGTGTCCCTTACATTTTGCTTCGCACTCGCCTTCTTACTAGTTTCTAATGTTTGGAGGTACAATTAAACTATTCAGGGAAAGTCACTCTGCCGAAATCCTTTTAGTTTTATTTCCTGGTCTAAACTATACGTGGATAATTTGAGAGAAAAAACAGCGATTTTTTTTTCAACAGTTCATTTTCTAAGTTCGTTTTTTTAAGTGCTATGAATACCAATATTCCAACCACAAGTACAGGTCGCAGAATGGGTCTTTCTGCGGTCGAAGCTCTGAAATTGTTTCAGTCAGATGTTTTTAATTGTGATAATGATAATAAAAATTTAGATTTTTCGGAAAGTGATTTGGACGGTGAATTTTCACCAGTAAAACTGAGTGATCAGCTGTTCGGAATCTAGCGATTCTGATGAGTTTATTACACAGACAATGTCCCATACTACCGTATTTATGGTGTAAGAGAAGGAAAGTGCTCTAAACAGTACTATACTATGGCTTAGCTACATTGAAATCATCACAGCTACAGTCTGTAAATAACTACAAAGTAAATAGTAAATAGTGTGTGTGTAATGGCTCATTTTTCAGCCATTTTTTCTCTGAAATCTTGCTTAGCACTCAGTGAAAACTGAGAGCCCCTGAGTGCTAAACTAACCCAGAAAGTTATCATAACTTTGGAATATGTTAGAAAATTGAACAAACTTTGAAGTTTTGTTCTCAAATTTGGATATTTACTACTCTTGTGGCTGCAAAACCATGGTAAGTGAAGAATTTTTGTGTGAAATGTTGTCCTTGTGAAATTAACACCTGCTGAATTCTTCTTTCCCACTAACTATCACAAAATTAAACAAACACTTATCATCACATTCAAAATGTACATTCATTTCTCTTTAAAAAATATATATAATTTTATAGGGATTAGAAATATATTATAATCTCTGTAGCCTTTCTTGTACACCCACCCCTCTGCCATTTTTGTAAAGGGAAATTAATGTGGGCCAAGTCTGTCAAAATTCATGGGCCTGAAAGAGTTAAAGATGGGTACTTGATAAAAGCAACACCTTGGGTAGGAGTATACATAGGGTGGGAGAGCTGGCGACAAACCAAATTTCTTTCAGGCAGACCATATTAAGAGCGGCTTTTTGCAAAGGATCTGCTATATGATGATCTGCATGTTAGATATAATGACAGTGGCTGTGACACTTGGATACTAGCCTGGTTGTCATCTCTGAATCCTTGAAATTAATCCGACAACAAATTTCTTATGGAGGTTGCTATCCCACCATCACATCTGTGATGAGGGTTTGCTATTCCACCAACACATCTCTGATGAGGGTTTGCCTTTCCACCAACACATCTCTGATGAGGGTTTGCTATTCCACCAACACATCTCTAATGAGGGTTTGCTATTCCACCAACACATCTCTGATAAGGGTTTGCTATTCCACCAACACATCTCTGATGAGGGTTTGCTATTCCACCAACACATTCCTGATAAAGGATTGCTATTCCACCCACACACCTGATGAGGGTTGATATTCCACCAACACATCTTCTTATGGAAATTGTTTAAAATTAAAGTACTGTTGATGAAACCTTTTTATTGTGCATTTAAACACCTCATTTTTTAATGCCTGTGGTTTTGCACATTTTTTTCGCTGAACATTCATTCCTCAACTTCGCGCTCACCATGCAGTAAGCTCCGGGTTGAAAGTCCTATTTGTTCATCCACTTCTGGGCATCCCCCCCCCCCCCCCCCCGAACTTTAGTGTTGCTGCACATCTGCTATACGGATTTAGTTTATTTGTGTACAGGCTGTTGGTTCCTTGTTTCTCAGGCAGATGTACTCCCACTTTGAAGAAACTTAAATCCTGTCTACATTGACCAGGTCCTCCGTTTGGGAACCTGTATCTGATATGACCGCTCAGGATGATGGAGAGGTGTAGGTGGGTCTTCACCTGTATGTGTCCTGGTCCCAGTTACCACCACTTGTGGTTCAGAACCTCTGTATTTCTTTCCCATTTTTAACTGTGCTGTATTCTTTAATCTGTCATTGTGGAATGTATTGTTTGTTGGTCTTTTTTTTTTTACACAATCATATGTCACGTCGATTAGAATAGGCTGTCATGATATCCATCTGACATGATCACCAGAATCACAGATCAGGTCATTGCTTTTGTCCAGCCCTCATCTATGTGGCCAAACCATTAGGGTATTTGTTTTCTTGTTGCTCTTTTTCTTGCTCATTGTCCTCGTGTTCTCGAGTCTCCTCATTCTCATGTCTAAACAAATCCTTTTTTTTTTCTCACAGACATACAAATCCTTCAGTGCCCAGCGGTCAGACACACCCATGCCAAATGGTCATTTTAGAGGTGAGCACAGTCATAATTGTTTGTTTAGTTAAGTGCAGTACGGAAAAGCAGTTGATTGATCATCATCATGTGCCTTATTACATGACAAAGGCTTCAATGTCTACACAAAAATCTTGATCCCCTTGGGTTTCTAGTTTGCCTACTGCTGATATTCACTCAGGCTATCCTAGTTCTAGGGCCCTGTTTTGAGGAATAAAAGAATAGACCCCCACGCACACACAAGCATATTGGGAAAAATGGCTAATTAGGGTTTGCTGAAATCAGAATTGTTGTACCATGAGGCGAAGATATTGCAGCCTAGCTGTAAACCATAATACAGCAGGTAGGTTGTCCTTTCTAAGGGCAAGCACAGAAGACCTCTTGTATCAAAAGTATTATCAACAACTCTACTTCATTGTTGGGAGCTGCAATGGCGTAGTGGCCAGACTAAGACACTTGCTGCCGGCTAGAAGGTCTTGGGTTCGAACCTGCACCTCAGCAGATAGTTTATAATTGACCTTATCTTCAGGGTCGACCCAGCTCAGAAGAGTACCAGAAAATATCCTGGGAAGCCATCTTGACCACATCACCCATCGAGTGCCCATTTAGTCTAGAAAAAAATGAGTCTTTCATTGTATGTTCCTATTTAATAGTGACATAAAAAGGCCCCCCCCCCCACCCCCCCCCCCCCCCCCCCCCCCCCAACTTTTGTTTTAAACCAGCTCTTTGTACTCCTTTAGTACATAATCTCTTCCATGACCTGCCACCGTTTCTAAAATATTCTTTCTTGGTTTTCTTTTTCTCTGTTTTCCTCCAGCTTTAATGCTGTTATGACATACTCTAGTCCCTGTATGGGTTCTGGGTCTTATTTGGGGGGAACTAGACCAACTGTCCCCTCTTCCAAACTAACATGGGGGTTTAGCAAAACTGGATGTGTTTAGCTGAATTTTACAGATGTTACAGCTTTGCTGTAAACCTCAACACAACTTGCCAACCATTCGTTAAGGGCAAACCCAGAAAAAGTTGTGTGGAGGCTCAGAAATATTTTACCAAGATGTACCTGACTGGTAGGACTACTGCCTGTACGTATCTACTAGACTATTTCATGACCTAGGCAGATCCTAAAGTGGCTCAGTAGAGGTGAAATTTTAGTGACACCCTACTGTTTTCTGTTGCTGCCACAATACCCCAAGCCAACAACACCTTTAAGGATGAATGAAGCCTTTAGGATGTCTGTTGGTTCTGAAGCATGTATTCGGTACTTACTTTGCGTTGACCTGCTGTAAATTTTAGTTGAAAGCTCTAGTTTTTTTGTCTACTTCTGAGCTTTTAGTCTTGTTGCAGAACTTTCCAGAGTTTTGCATGCACATCCATTTTACAGTTCCCCCTTATTTGTATGCAGACTGTTAGTTCCTTGCCTCTCAGGCAAATTCCCTCAAACTAACAAGGAAATACCCCTAATTAATTAGTCAGATTTTACGACATGCTTGTCATGGGGGCAGTTTGTCAATTTATTTTTTTTCTCCTGCAATGAGGACCCTTATCTGACAGTCTTTAATTCATCATCTTCATTTGGCTTTTTGACCTCTTTATGGTTTCCTCATCATTGTTCAGTAAACCATTATTCTGCAGCTTCCACATAATTTCTCATGGATCTGCTGCTGACTGTTCATGATTATGATCTTTCCTTGACATCATTAAATATGAAGTAATGTTTATGAGTACGGACATTTTTGTTGCATATGTTCTTGAGCACCTCATTTGACAAATGAGGGCTCCCTGCAGTGGGGGGGGGGGGGGGGGGGGGGGGGGGGGGGGGGGGGGGGGGGGGGGGGGGGGGGGGGGGGTATGGGGACATCTAGAGAGATTGTCAGATAACAGACAAAGACTGCTTTCACAAAATAGTTGCAAGAGAGTAGAGCACAAGGCTGACCAAGAAGAGGGTAGATAGATAATATACAGGCAGACCTCCACACACTTAGAGTCACAAACTCGATACAGTAGGCCAGAGACAGATGAATCGAGGCAGGTGATATCTGTAACAGTCAACCTTCATGGCTGGGAAAAAGGAAAGATGAAGACATAACTCAGCTTGTTCTCTCCCTTTAGGTATGGCCAGTGTTGTCGAAAGCTTGTGATAAGTACCAGTCTGACGTTCGAATCATTGAAAGATGTTGTCGGTGTATACGATTTGCCATCCGATGTTTGGGCAAGAATTCGGCCATGTTGCTCACACCTTTAGTCACACAGGTAACTTTTTGGTTATTATTTTTTTTTTATTCCATAAAGTTATTTTAGAAACAAAGCAAATATAGGTTTAAGGTGGATAATACTTGTTGGTGGAATAATAACCCCACAAAGATTAATTGGTGGAATAGCAACCTGCATGCAAGATTTGTTGGTAGAATAGCAACTTCCATGAGAGATGGGTTGCTAGAATAGCAATGCCCATAAGAGATTTGTTGGTGGAAAAGCAACTCTCATACAAGAAAGAATTGTTGATTTTTTAACAGCCCTAATAAGATATTTGTTAATGGAGTAGTAAACCACCACATGAGATTTGCTGGAATATCAGTAGCAGCATAACTACATCTGTTCATTCTTCCTCTGCTTCTTCATCATTATCCTTCCCCTTTCTCAAATTTTTTCTTCTCCTGTTTTTAATTCTGCCTCTCCCTTCTTCTTATTCTACCTCATTTTCTTCTTCTTCCTTTCCCTCCTCTTCTTCTTCGCCTTCTCCTTCATCTTTATCTTCTTCTTTGTTTTTGTGCCTCGTTTCTTTCTTTTTTTTCTTTTTCTTCTAGAAGCAACTCTGCATTCTATGTTTGATTATCTCAGGGAAGTTCCCTGGTGTTGTTTTGTTCTAATGATTGATTCTCCTGTTGTCTGTCATCCACAGATGGTTGGTTTGTATCAGACACACCAGCATTCATGTTTTCTCTACCTGGGCAGTATTCTAGTGGATGAGTATGGAGGCGAGGCAGGCTGCATACCTGGCTTGTTAGACATGCTTCAGGTAGGTGGATTCAGCTCTCAAGTTGAACTCTAGCTCTCTGATGCAGTTGTGACAGTTGTTGTATTACTGTTTGTTCTGCCTCACTGGAGCCTAAATCCTCATGCAAGGTTATTCTGTTCTTTGCCAGCATATGCAGCTTACCATATTATCCACCCTAACTTTTTCACTTCATTTTGTAATTCTTTTTTTTTAAAACTCTGCCATGTTTATTTTAACCACATGTTTTCCCATGCATGGACACTATCTTGTTATCAGGTTTTCTTAGTGTGTGTCACATTCAGTGTCAGGGAGGGAGACTAGAAGGCCAGAATGTTATACAGGCCTGAATGCCTAATTCTGAGCACTTTAAAAAGTAAAGTTTGTTCATTCATTCATTCTTTCCCTCAACACCAAATTCAAATGAATGTTTTTTTTTTTTTATAACTTCTCTCCAAAAACTGCACAATAGTGATTTTGTCCTAGCATTTAATTCCCTGTATTCTGTGCAGGCACCAGGGTGTTTATCATTTTGTAGTAATTGTTTTAGTGGTTATCTTTTAACCCTACCAGACCTGAGGCCCTGAACCTAACTGTCCCAATAACCTGAGCTCCTGGGCACTAACACGAAAAAACCAACATGATGTACAAAAAATTAGTTACATGCAAACATGTGGTTAGAATAAGATAAAACTTGGAGACATTGTAGAAAATAGGATTACCTTTCATCTAGCGCCAATCTTCCACCTTTGTGTGCCAATCCACCTAGTAGGATCAGTCTTGTTTCACAAAGTAAGCACCAGATGTTGCTGTTTGAGGGACACGCCCCCTTCTCTTACTATCTATCTAGTTTTAAATCTATAATTTTCATAATTCTCCTCCTCACTCTAGCTCTCACTGACTGTGTCACTTCAACTAGGAACGTATTCTTCATGAACGTATTCACAGTCTGAATTAACCAAAGTATCGATCACCTGTTGGACTGTGAAAAGTCTAGACCTACGTCACTTTCTTGTTGAAGCCGCTCGTTTCATTAAAAATTTTCCCAATTTTTTGTGCATCATACCACACAAAAAAAAAATCTCAACACACGTGGGAAGTCATTCGCAATGACTAACCACAAAGTCTGATGGCGATTGGCTGGTTATTTTTAGTCTGTGGCGCATATTTTTCATGTACTACGTAAATTCCAGGAAAATGGGGCCAGCGGTATAGCGGCTGGTAAGGAAATTCTCGGAAAATCGGGCCAGCGATCTGGTAGGGTTAATGTTTCTGTTCTAGTACATTAGAGCTAAATATTCAGTGATTGATACTAATTTTAAAAACTTTAAAACTGTTGATTCATAAATTCTGTGGATATATTTGTGCTCAATATTTATCAGTCTGCTGTAAAAGGAAATTATTTTTAACATGAACATTTTGATACACACTTGTTGCTTTGTTACTGCATACAACACCAAACCAAGGATCTGATCTGGGTCAGTTGAATGACAGCCCAGCATTCTTAATTGCTGGGCTGTCATTCAACTGACCCAGATCAGATCCTTGGTTTGGTGTTGTATTTTTAGGCGCACACAAAATCCTAACCTGCACAGTCTGTGGCCACTGCACTAGCCATGCAGCCTTATATCCTCTGACTCAAGACCCCTCTGCCCTACGCCACCATAAAAAGTCCCAGATTCAGGCGTATTAATAGTTTTTTCATCATGATTTTGTTTTCAGGCATTCTGTGGCCCCACGTTCAAGATCTTAGAAGAACATAATGGTTTGAGAAATCACCCAGACACAGTTGATGACCTGTTCAGATTGTGTTTAAGGTTTGTATTATTCACTTGCCTGTCAGCCAGAGGTCTTAGGTTTTAATCCTCATCGATGTTGGGTTTCTATTTGTGTGTGTGTGTGATTCATCTAAACACTTAAGGGGATCCATCCTATAATGGCTACTAGGAAATATCTGTGAAGGATATTTACATGAAAAAAAATATTTGTGGTGGGATATATATACACCTCTATGTACCAGAAAATATCCTGGAAAGTCATCTTAACCACATCACCCATGCTAGTTTGGTCTAGAAAAATATGAGTCTTGCATTGTATGTTCTATTTACCAATGACATAAAAAGTCCTTTTTTTCCCCAACCAACTCTTTGTACTGCCAGTTATGCAGTACATATGTTCTTCCATGACCTGCCACTGTGTCTTGAAAATTCTTTCTTGGTTTCCTCATACAAACACATATGTACACACAAACATGCACACACAAATACATATGTACACATACATACACACAAACACATAAAGGGGATGATCAATAAACACGTACATAGTAAAGCATTAAATCAAATACATTGTCTTATCCAGTGTCTCAAACAGATGTATCAGCAGACTTATCCGTGACTATGATTATAATCAATATGCTGTGGGGAAATGTGACATCACCATGGTTTCAAAACACTTTTATAATTTCACCAGAAAACCTCCCTAAATACTTTTTTTTAGTAAATATATTCACCATGCAGGCGTGAACACAACCAAGGGCATTAACCATATGTTTCATAAACAGATTACTAGAAATGCCGGTTTAGTGGAATTTATGGGGGGGGGGGGGGGGGGGGCGAAACCTGCCGGATTTGCAGCTTCCCAGGGCAAAAAAAGTTATAAAAAATATAGATCTGGCACCATATGCTGGATGCACTGGCATAAGCAATCATTTTGCTATCATCATCTACTTCTTTTTCCTGAAGATTACTCTTCTTTAATCATCTCAGATTATTTTTTGACCAAACATTATGCAATAAGTGCTAAGGACTCTCTTTGGGAACCACAGAAGAGGGTGGGTCACTCTTTCTCATGTTGCTGTGATTATTTTGTTTGTGATTATATTTATCTTGGCATTTGGATCTGATAGCTTGGTAACGACTGGCAAGATTGATGGAAGGAAGGCAAGGGGGTGGCAAAGAGATAAATATCAGGATAGAGCAAGACAAGAACTCTGATCTGATCTTTGAAAATGGAGTTTGTGTTAAATGACAAAACATGACCACCTGTGCTTATCACCTTGGCACATGATGATAATGAAAAGAAAATCAGAAACTAATAACACCGTAATTTACCATGCATGTCAAACAGGACACTGGGGAGGGTTGGCCTAGAGCAAGTTACCTCATCCTGTAGACAACCTTAGCTGCAAAATATCAACCCCCGTGAACAAGTTTACACAGTGTTTTACACGAGTGCAATGTGCATTTTGACAAGACCTTGGTTGACCCAAGAGCCGCACTCTTGAAGGAAATCTGTCTATGCTGGGAGTTGAACCTTGACTAATGGACATGCTGAAAACCATCTAAAGTCGACATGCTTCAGAAAATTGTAATGCTCTTTTCGAGGTCAAGATAGTGGAAATTGTAACCAACTTCTCATGAGAACAATTAGTAGAGGTGGCTTCAGCATCAAAGGACGGAACATGCATGGGAATGCCCTGTGTTGGCTGGGATTGCATAACATAAACATGTAATGTCAGTTGCAGTGTAATTTTTGAATTAAAATTAAAATAAATATCTTGGGCTGACAGAAAACCGGATGAAGAAGTTGCCCAAAATAACAAATGAACACTATCATCTGGTTGTAAGTAACGAATTTGTGGAAAAATGAAAAGGAATTAACTCTAAAAGTTAGTGAGAACTGACAGCTTAATTTGAAAAGAACATCAGAAAATTAGAGAGATAAAATACCTGGATGGCTTGGTTGCATAACATGGGTGGGACAAGAACACAGACTGATCATGTTAAATGGTGAACCAGGACCACCTATGCTTATCGGCATGTCACACAGGCAGCGACAGGCAGAAAACATTTTTGAGGTGTGGACACTTAACTCCTTTACAGATTTTCAAGGTAGGGGTTAAAACAAAGGGCCTAAGCCATGTTTAAATGTGTAATTATAGAGAAGTGAAACGGGTGGGGGGGGGGGGGGCATTATTTCCCTTACAAAGTTTCTGATGGGTGCTTTCACGGGGGGGGGAGAGACCTTAATAGACCTGGGTCTGCTTACAAGTTCTGGTGCCTAGAACGACACATGATACTGATTGATGCAATTGGCTGAGAGCTTGTAACTGATGAGGAAAATGAAGACACCTGCTGCACGATGTTGAGTTTGGTTGTTGAAATATTTATAAATGTTTTTAATAATGATAATAATATTAACATTAAATGTATAAGTAATTGTTCTTGTTTTGTCAACCTGCATGTTTCTGAGTACACTTTCTTATCACGACTACAGATTTATCCAGAGGGCCCCAGTGCCATTCCTCCAGAGCAGCATGGCCAAGCCCATTATGTGCTGCGCTATCGCTGCATGTTCGCTAGACCACAAGGATGCCAATGCCTCAGTTATGAAGTACCTCTCCGACATGATCAAATGTATGCGAGAGAAAGAGGTGGGTCAGCTCTTCTTCTTCTTCTGGGGCCCTGTTGTTGTGGCAAATAGGAATAGATCCACTGCAAATGTGTTGTAAAAGTCTACTGCTTAGGGGTATTTTCTTTGAAGTCAGAGTGCATCTGCCTTAGAGATGAGAAACCAACAGTCAGCATAGAAATAAGCCAGATCTGTAAAATGGATGTGCCTTCAAAACTCTGGAAAATTCTGGAACAGGACTAAAGTATAGAAGTGGACAAACAACCAGGACTTTCTGCCAAGAGTTTACAGCTGGGTAATGTGAAGAAGAAGACAGAAAATTCCTTTCATTTTAGGTAAAATTAGGACAAATATGATACTAAAAGTTTAATTGTTTCTTTTCATTTATACGTTTTTTTAAGTATCCAGAAACTGAGTTTTTTAACCCTTTGGCTCGCAGTACTATGGATATCCCAACCCCTCAGTCTTGATTTCATGATAGATAAATCTGGGAGAAATGTGGTTTTTCTGCCTACCCCTAGGTGTGAACCCGGACCACAGGGAGTTCGTCACCCGGTCGCCGCAAAGTCCGGTTTAACCAACTACACTAGCGAACTGGGCTTCATTTAAACATAAACTGTTTGTCAGATTACTGGCTTGATTACTGTAGTGTCTAATTTGTTTGCTGTTTGGGCATCCAGGACAGGGAAGACTTTCAGCTACGCTGGACTTTGGTGAAGAAACTTCTAGAAGATCACGGACAGTCCCTGGTGGTGGCCCTGATCAACGCGTGCCTATTCTGTTTACCGACATTTATGTCAGCAGACGTCAGTGAAGTGCTGTTTGAACTGATGTTAATAGACAGACCAGTAAGTTCATTGACTGTTTATTAGACTGATTGATTGACCAGTTAGGTGATTGACTGTCTAATAAGTTGATTGCTCAGTAAATTGATTGACTGTATGATAAGTTACTTAATTGACCAGTAATTTGGTTATTTGTTCAATAAGTTAAATGACTGACTAGTAATTTTGTTGACTGCTCATTGAGTACATTAGTTAACCAGTACATTGGTAAACTCATGATGGACTGAATAGTAATTTGCGATACTGGCCAGTAAATTGCTAGGCCTACCAATAAGTTGATAAACACAGACCATTTGGTGACTTCTCATGGAGAGACATGAATGTCATTTTGCAAAGCACTTGGTTTTGCCTGTGTTATAGTGGTGGGTAAAGCTTGTATTGTCAGCAGCTATATGCTGGAGGATATACTGAGGAGGGAATCAGAGTATTTATAGACTGAATAGTTTAGTATACCGTTCTGTGATCTCTCGACTAACACAGATAAGATAAATATTTTCTCATTAGTATAGTTGTGTTTTTTGGCTGTTTTAGGCGCATTGAGCTGAATTCTTTTAGTTAGATCAATTTCTTTTGACTTTAATTTTTTTGTAAACAGCTCTCTCTCTCTCTCTCTCTCTCTCTCTCTCTTTCTTTCTCTCTCTCTCTCTCTCTCTCTCTCTCTCTCTCTCTCTCTCTCTCTCTCTCTCTCTCTCTCTCTCTGTCTGTCTGTCTCTCTCTCTTTCTCTCTCTCTCCCTGTCTCTCTCTCTTTCTCTCTCTCTCCGCCCTCTCCCTGCTCTCCCTCCCTCTCTCTCTCTCTCTCTCTCTCTCTCTCACACACACACACACACTCACACACACACACACAGAGTGAGAGAGAGACCTATTTATATTGGTTATTATGCTGCAGTAAGTTGCATTCTCTTAGTTGGATCCGTTTCTTTTGGCCTTCATAGTTGCAGTAAATTGTTCTCTCTTTTGTAAACCTTTCTCTTTTGGCTGTCAAAGTTAATAGTAAACCTTTATCTTTGTCAGACCTTCTGTGTGTGGCTGGAACATACGCTGAAAGCCCTGCCCACAGAGAGCAGTGGGGGAGCAGTGACAGCTACTAAAAAACAACTGGCAGATTTCCACAAGGCTTGCACCAGGTAAGTTGAATTATTTGCTAGTATTCATAAAGAGGCAGGTAATATTTTGGTATGATTTAACCTTTCGCTGAGTAAAATTGCCTACAAAAATTTTCCACATTTCTTTGATAATAAACACTTATAGTTCTCTGAAACTGTTCTCTAGGTAACAAGAGAAAGAGAAGAAGCAGAAGAAATTTGGAGCCTTGTTTTTTTATTATTATTTTTTTAAATAAACATCCAGATGGCCAAACACCTAGACCACTAAGCAGACAGATATCGCTGCTGTTGAATCGCTGAAAGAGTTTATTTTAATTTTGTTCATGCAGAAACCAGTTTTTCAAGTGAATTAATGCCTAAATACAAGCCGAGCAAAGAATTAACTGCTTTCTTTCCTTTCCAGCTTAATAAACATGGTTTTGTTAACTTGGCCATGTGGAGCAAAGCAACCTCATACGAAATTATTATAACGTAACAATGGTGTAACTTTTTTTGTGTGGATTTTTTTTAAACCCCTATAAAGTCTCCGGGAAGGCTAACCAGGTCAACAAATGCCTACATAATTCAGATGTGTTATCCGAAAAGTGCAGATATCACAGCCGTGCTGTAAACGGAAACAATCGAATTCCATCTTTGGAAGAACACACAAGAAGATATCTCCAAAATGTTTGGAAGTATATGTGGTCATACCCACCATGTCTACGCACTCTGCTCTTCTTAAAGCCAATACTGAAGTTAAACTGTTATATAGACACCTTGATCACTGCCGAAAGACTTCACGTCATCAAAAACCCATAAATGTTGGGAAAAACAGTTTTCTTAGGGCAACAGAGTTAATGTAAAAATAAATGTTGGGGTGCCATCTCCACAGTGGAGGGTTGTATTCATTGCTATTTTTGCTAGTAATGCGTGAAGAGGTTCCAGTCTTTTCCATCATACATCTTGCTCCGCTATTGAAAGCTACGAAAGACACCTGTTTCTAATATGATTTTAAAATGTTTGTTTTGCATGTTGACACGATATCATGATGCCTCAACCCTGTCACAAAACCTACATCTCTGGTTAGATTCATTTCCCTAAAGAAAAACACTTAACTGACTTTTCTACAGTGACAGGTTTATGAGAAGCATGGTTAACACTGTTTGTTGTGTTCGCTGGGGCAGAAACATTAAGGAGGTCAGGATATGAATATATTTACTAAAAATAGGGGGGGGGGGGGGAGAAGGGGGTGGGGGGTCTTTTTTAACCACTTGGCTCTTTAAAAAGTCATTTTACATAAAATTATCTCTGTAGCCTCAGTGATATAGGTCACAGGGTCACAGCATGAGTATCTGGTATTTATTGGTTTTTTAAAGCCTGGGGGTTTGCATTCATTAAATGCTTCACTCTGTTCATGTTTATTGATTAAATCCTTCGTATAACTTTATATAATTTTTAGAAACAAAAATAAAAATGCAGATAATAAAATTTGTAAAAGGAAATTGATTAGTGGCCTGTGTAAGGATTGGGGGGGGGGGGGGGGGGTGTGTGCCCGGATCATGGCTCATTTTATTTGGTAGTCCTGGCGCAACATAATTAATGTAGTTATTTCGGTCATTTCTTTCTTTGTTTTGTTTATTTGTTATTTGCTGGTGAAGACTTGTGTTTTATAATTGTCTGCAGTTAAGATATTTAATGTTGTCTGTGTCTGTCCCAACGTGTACTGTTTGAAATATATTTATTTTTGTATGTCTTCGCATTTTTTGGGGTGTGTGGGTAATGTATGAAAGGTAATAATAATTGTTCTTTTTGAAATATGTGAATATTATGAATTTAAAAAATGTAAAAACTATATGAAAAAAATGTAAAAACTATATGTATTTGTCATCTGTATGATCATATATTGCTAGAAATATATAATAGCACATTAATTTTTCTGTGTCACTTCATGTACTGTTAAAAACAAAGGTATCGTCATTTTGCCAGTATTCCTAAGTACCATTTTATCCACTATCTAACCACACCAGTTAAGACATTTCATATACTCTGTCATTTCAGTGCCGAGGATATCAAGCAGGTCAGCGGTGCCCTTCGAGAGTTCTGTCGTCTGTATAGATAGTGCTACCCGACTCCTAGTCATGTGATATTGTTTTAACGACATTTATAGCTCCAGCTGAGAGACATACCTCTCTTGTTCTGCCTGACTTGTACAGCTTTTTAATGAAGTCGCATCTGCCCCACTAGAACAGTGTTGCTTGAGTATCTTGTTCTGTCACAGTTCTCGTTAACTCTTTCAGCCCTAACTCTTTTAATTCTTAGCTTCTTCTGTTCCGAGAGAGAAAATGGTGTCATCTTCCACAGAGAAGGTTGGCTTCATTGTACCCGCTGGTGAAGATTATAAGCATGTTGAACGGAGCATCACTAAGTTCTAAGCCACAGCACAGCTTTGCCGTCATAAACCAAGAAGCTGAGCTTAAAGGCAATGAATACTTAGGTAGCTTCATATACCTGATGCGCCACTGGTGGGAAAAGGGACCCTAACTTTGTCGCTGTGAGACATCAGTAGTCCAACTAATAATTCATATAAAGAGATAAAAGCAGGGGAACTGTTGATCAGGTTGCAGCAACATCAGTTCGAACTTTGCTGGTTGTTAGTGAAAGGTAACCAGATTGCCCCATTTTAGAGATGTCAATTCTAAATTCATTCATTCAGGCACACAAAGTTAAAATGTGATACCCTATGAAAGAATAAGTAAGAACATCATGTTATCTTGGCAGTGAAGAAGAAGCCTTTTCTGAATTTGGTACTAAAAGTTCAGTGACTCGTATATGGTTGCCTCATAACCTTTAAATGAAGCCCAACAATTGTATAATGCATTGTTTCACAAACGTTTCTTAGTCACACCGCCTTTTTCCAATTAAAATTTTTTCACGGTGCCCTAGCCTAAGTAAAAGTATGACTATTTGTATGTAAGAGATAACACACCCAAACAAAAAAACGCTTGTGTATCTTTGAATATTTTGCGGGTCCCTGGGACGCATCGATGCACAGTGGAAATCACTGGCATAATGTGTTCTGTTACATTTTTACATTTTTTTTAAATATTTGGTCAGATCATGGTAAAACATATCTGGCATCCCTAATGACCACTCTACTAAGTATTTAGCCTCTTTAAAAATAATACAGTCCTAATTTTTCATAGTGGTTATTCAGGTTAATGACTGTGGAAGTGAAACAGTAAATAATGTGCGTTTATTTATTGGATTATGTTTGGTATCATTGCTTTTGCCTGTGTTACTCGAGCCTATGAGAGGCACAGAATATTCGCATGCATGTCATAAGAGGCAAGTAAATAGAGTTGGTGTGAGATATGCTACTTCAGTTTGTAGAAAACTTTTTTGTTGTTGCTTAATTCAACCAGCGATGAACATGTTTTGACTGTAGAGGTCCAGAACAAACCCCCACACCCGCTACCAAATACACACATAGTTTTTATATATTTCAAGTGGAATGTTAGGGCAGACACCAATGACATACAAGTTTTACATATTGTTAACAGTTTGTCAAAGGGCTTGGATGAGTTGGCTGAGGGTTTATCCTTGACTGAGACCTTATAAACAAGAGAAGGTGTGGCTTAGAGATTGGTGAATACGCCTAACAATTTCACCATCCTTGATATACCAGCGTTCGATTTCCGCAGTCATTTTTTTTTTGGTTGGGGGGGGGGGGGGGGGGGGGGTGTGTGTGTGTGTCTGCTCGCATATTTTCTAAGCCGGTCAACGCTGAATAAGTAATAAAGTCAGTGTCATTTTGGCCGCCTTAATTTCTCCAAACTTTTCCTTGGAGTGGGATCTCAGATACTTTGTCAAAATTTGCTAAGAATGGAGATTTATACATGTGACCAGGCCTTGGCAGAATCATCATGCTACATCCACTTGTCAATATATAGGGTATATGCTGCTGCTACCTGGGATTGAGTGGTGGTGTAGCAGCTAGCTGCTCACTTGCCAGCCCAAAGGTCCAATTGTTTCTCTTTTTTATTTTTAGAATTGACCTTGGCTTCCAGGTCGACCCAGCTTTAAACGGGTACCAAGTAATATCCAGGGAAGTAAAGGCAGCTGGCTCGATGTTGGCTATATGACCCATCTATTGGTATATAAAAATTGAATCTAGTATCATTAGCCCAGTGCCCCACTGGCACACAGTGGGTCCTTTTCTTTACTTCACCAAATGGAGATAAAACCCAGGCCATTAACTTAAAAGCAGCATATTAACCACTACACTTTTGTGATCTCTAACTAATGTTTCCTCTCCACATGTTACATAAATGATACAGATATTGAGGTTAAATTTGTGGAAACAGGATGCCATGTACCATGTTGCTTGTAGGGGGGGGGGGGGGGGGGGGGGGGGGGGGGGGAATCAGGTAGGGCATGTGGATAAAGAAAAAAAACATATTGCATGTAGGTTCAGAGCTGAGCGTCTCACAAGAGGCACACCGAATGGTTCTAAATACATGTGATGGCAACATTGATTCTGCCATCCTCTAACTGTGAAAGACTTCTTAACAGGAGAGTCTTCATTTTCACACCGGGCATCATCATGGGATGCCATTTCCCTATCTCCCTTAGCATAGTATAACACTATTACCTAAAAGGATGGAAGTGTGCCAGTAATATTGTCTCACTAACCTGCTGATTGTCCTTGATTTACTTCCATATAGTACATTACTCTTTAAACCTGCCAGATTGGCTCTTTATGCCTGCAAGTTTGAATCTTCATGCTTGCAAAATTGGCCTTCAAACCCGAAAGACCTGTTTGCTTTTTCTGAATTCAAGCTGTCATAATACGAATTGCATGCCTGATTGTAAATAATAAAAATGTATTATTAGCCCAGAGAATGACATTGCAACTTTGATGGCTAATGAAACGAATACATCATTTGTTGTTCTTTCTTGACTGTATTTTCACTTAATTTAACTCCTTCAATGCTGTCTGCAATTTCAGTATTTATGAATGTAGTTTTATAATTGAAAGATGTCCTTGAGTATGAAAGTACATGAGGCAGGAGATCTGGCGAGTGACCGAGTTTCTTTCAGGCAGTCTGTGATGAGAGCGACGTTCTGCAAAGGACCTGCTACATGATGATGAGTTTTATAATTTCTCATGCCAGGTTCAGTTCAGCTGCTAATGAAACGAATGCATTATTTGTTGTTGAACTCTTTCTGTACCAACTGTAGAAGCTTACCTGCTGGCCAGGAGACTTTATGTTCAAATCTGTTTCTTTTTTTCAAAATTGACCTTGGCTCCTAGCCTAAAGTGGGTGCTAGGTAATGTAAAAAGTTAAGGTCCCTTTTCCACATCTTTAGGCATATAGGGCAAGACCTATATTTTCATAGACCACGATGGGTGATGTGGTCAGCATCACGCCAGCTGCCTTTACTTCCCGGGAATTCACCTGGTACCCACTCAAGGCTGGGTCGACCTGGGAGTCGAGGTCATTTTTGAAGAAAAAAGGTGCAGCTCCGACAGGGAGTGAACCCACGACTTTCCGATCTGCACACGAGCATCTAGCCGCTAACTAGGTAATGCCCTGGGAAATAATGGCAGCCATCGTGAATGTTGACCACATCAGGCATCAAGTACTGATTGGCCTATAAAACATATGAGCCTACCGTCGTATGCCCAATGCACCACCTGTGTAAATGACCTTATACCTAATATACTGTCCGCTATCTTAGCTGTTATGAATGCAGTTCCACATTTTCTCATACCAAGTTCGATTTACTACCAACCATTTGGCAGGAAACAGTTTTGCATTGAATTTGGCCATGGTATAAACATTGAACCATTCAGAAAGAAATGGCAGACTTCTTCAGCATTCTGAACTCTTGAGGTTTATTACTGCAGGTATCACCCGCTTCCGTTCCTCTCTGTAATTGACCGTCTATGTCCAAGTGTTTGTGTAATATAATTCCACACTCTTTTATGTCCGTCTTGTCGTCTACAACCATTCAGCCCCGTAATGTGCAGTTTTTGCATTTGTGGCTCAGGCATGGCAAGCACACTTCGTAGTGCTGGGTTTGCTCCCTGCTGCGGACTTTTTGTCTGCGCTGGCTTTAACAGTAGTATCAACAGCTGACCGTTCAGGAGAGGTGGCAAACTACTGAACATAAAATTTCCTTTAAAAATCCACAACTGCCAATAAATGCTAGTGTTGATTCTGCAACGTCCTGTAAAGGATACACAACTTACATTTTGTCTGAAATCTGCCATTATGTCTATGCTTCAGCCGTTTCAGTATTTTAGCCCTCATGGTGGCAGTGATCAATGATGATTTTTTTTTTAAATTATGGCATTTGTTGTTGCTTCTGCTTCTCCTTCTCTGTTCCCCACCACCTGTATCTCTGATGGGGTAAAGCTTCTTCTTAAGACTAATGGCTGTGTAAAATTTCCTAGATCCCTGTGTGGGTTTCAGACCCCAGTTTGGAAAAGGGGTGGGGAGAGATAACACCCACAGCCCCCACCTCCTACCACACAAGTATGTTATATCGGGTTAGTGATTAGGAGTGAGCTGAAATTGAATGTGTTGCACCGAAATGTACAGAATGCAGCCTAGCTATAAACCACAACATAACATGCCAGTCATGGAACACAGTGGTGGTATCCATTTAAGGCTGGGTCGACCTGGAAGCTAAGGTCATGTATAAAAAAATTCTGACTCCTGATTTTTTTTCTTAGAGTTGATTGGTGTAAACTTCAGAAAAAGTTATGTGACAAAATTTGAATTCTACATGCACATCTGTTTTACAGATTTGACTTACTTGTATGCAGACTGTTGGTTCCCCACCTCTCAGGTTGATGCACCTTGACCTTGAATGAGACATTCCTAATTAGTCACCTTTTACAACATGCATGTTAGGGGCAGCGGGTCTATTCTTGTTCCACCTCCCCTCCCATGGAGCCCTGGAACCCACACTGAAACATGGATTTGAACCCATGACCTTTAAAACCCTCTAGCCGCTACACCTTGGTGGCTCTTATGACAGGCAGTTACCAGATGATTTTTTTAAAAAAAGGTGGTAAAGGAAGTAACAGAGTACAGGGGTAGCTAAACC